CAACGCAAAGTGCGTTTTGTTTGCTATCTGTATTTTCTTTTTGGCCCGGTCGGTTGGCTTTTCACTTGGCCAAACGAATCGATTGCGTTGAGGAAAGTTCAAACGAGATTTACTGATGACGATGATGGGGTGTCATGACCGGTGGGTCAATTGCCAGGAATAAATTATATAATTTATATTTAAATTTTTTTAAATTTTAATTTTTTGGTAATCGATTTTTTACCAAATTTTTTATAACTTAAAAATAAAATTAAATAAAATTTTAAATTATAAAATGACTTTTTGATTTTTATAATGTACTATATTACTAGAAAAGAAGACCTTTTTTAAAAGAGAGGTTGAACCTACAGCCAAAACGGTTTGACCTATAAATCTAAAAATGTAAACTAAATTCCTAAAAAAAATCCAAATAAGAGAATGACGTTCCTTACTAATCCGTAATGTTCCTTGATTTATAATTAAATTTCCCTTAATTATTAGAGAATTGTTTTTATATTTTTTTTCGATCTTTACCAATTTCTTGGACAATTGTCCCCCTTTTATTTACCTTCTAGGCCCGATTATTGTGTTCTGCCGCTGGCCATGATTCAGTTTGGGTCGTGGCCTGTTGGTCTGTTTTTATTGCCTAATTGAAAATGCCTTGATGCTGGAAAAACCAACCGAAAGCCCGTCGACTTGAACTGTGATTTTTAGAGAGACTTTTGGAGACTGGGAAAAATCTTTCGCACGCTAATCTCGATGTTGGCCAACAATGCTCAACTTTCGCACGGCATAAATCCCGGCTAAATGCATGAGTTAAATGCAACGGCTTATCGGCCAAAGATCTGTGGCATTGTGATTTTGGGCTGTGGCTTATATTTCTTATATCATTTTTGTTTTTTGGCACACCCACTCTAGAAGGTGTTTTTCGCAGGACAAGTGGAGTGGAGTGGCCTGTTTGAAATGTCAAAACTTTTGTTTACCAAGCTCTTCGGCTCTTGAAATTTAAACAAAAGCAAAAACGGGGCGTATACGTAATGTCTCACTTGGCCAGACATTGATCTCTGGTCCCGTGTTGCTTTTGTTTTTTGTTTTATGCTTTTGTATTTTATTTTATTTTATTTTTTGGGGCGTTGACATTGCGACGCTCTTTGGTACCTGGAACGTGACATGATGTGCGGCACATTCTACGTGCTACGGAAATTTCCAGTCAATTTCCAGGCGGCAGCGGTGCTGCAGCGGACCCTCTTTGAATTTTAAGTTGCACTTTGAAGAGCCAAACTGAACTGAACTTTACTTTTGGCCCAGTCATGCTTTTCGGCTGTGAATGTGTAAATGTTGGCAGCTGCAGAGCTCAGGGATTATGAATAGCCAGAGCATTATCTGCGGAATTTCTGATGGATGGCCAGCAGCAGCCCCACAATTTACTCAAATATTCACACATGATTCACGGGTGTTCGGGCACAAAACAAGAAAAAATGCTGTAAATATCCACAGCACACTTCACAAAAATTTTCCAGGCAAAACATAAGTTGACTCACTTTCTGGGAAATTTCTGAAATATTTTTAAGGTATTAAATAAAAAATTTACCTCTTATGTTTAACACTCACGAACAACCATAAAAACATACCGGACCATATTTAAAAAACCATAAAAATCATACCATATTCATACCAAAATTTATGAACTGCTTTAAGTTAATTGAGTGTTTTTAATAAAGTATTCAAAAGGAGTGTTAAGTAGCTGAAAGTAAAAATGATTCATTTTGATTCAATTAATTAATTTAAGGCTATAACATTAATCACTTTGTTATGATTTATTTGCCTAACAATTTATTAGATTGAATTTATTATATATTTAATTAAACTAAATAATACTTTATTTAATAACATAAATCCCTGAAATTCAGGGCATAAATTAAGTGACTCATTTAGTTTAGGAATATCTAACTTCTCTTTGTTGAGACACTTGATTCATGTCAGTCAGCCTGCAAAACAAGCGACTTCTAATGGGCGACAGCTCAAGTATCGAGTATTGAGTACCGAGTATCTGGCATCGATTCATTTCGCTTCACATGATCTTTAAGTTCTCGAAAAAGTCGACCTGCTTTTAAAATCGCAAAGAAAACAAAAAAAAAATCGAGAGCAACTTGCGGCGATTTATGAGGCAGTTTCGCTTAGCTCTCTTGATTCAAGGTTAAATCCAGATTTTATGCAAAGCCAACGGCAGCTGAGAAATGGTAAATATGTACGCAATATTTGTGCATTTTTTGCGAGATGCGAGATGCCTTTTTTTCTGTTTTATTTTGTCGTAATGCGATGCCTTACGTAAGCAACGGGCTCTCCAGCTGCAGTTGCAGTACAGTGCATATATATATCTGTAAATATATCTGGCAGTATCTGTATAAATGTGCCACACACACACTGGTGTTGCAACTTGTTGTCGCAGCAGCAGCAGCAACACCAGCAACAGCAGCAACATCAGCTAACTGCAGCAGCAACTTGTCCATAAATTGTACCGCCGCTGGGGCTGTAAATCCGGCCAAAACGATTCTCAATTTTGGCCTGCTGCTCGAGCGCCCTGCAGCAACATCAACGGTGTTGCAGCAGCAACAGCAACAGCAGCAGCAGCAACACACTGGACCAGGCCGCATTTAGCCTGATTTTAATTGCCAACCGCTAGTTGCAATTAAAAGAAAATAAGGCTGGACAAAAAGCGAGGCTGAAACTAAACTGAAAACAAATGTGGCATTTGCCTTTAAGTACATGTGTTGCTGCTGTTGCTGATGTTGCTGCTGTTCACTTTGCGTAAAATCGACAAATTTGTCAGGCCAATCAATGCGAAATGCGAATGCTCATGCGCATTGTACAATCCAAATTGTTGTCATTTCATTTTCATTCAAGTTGTTTAGTCTCGTACTTTTTCTCCATTTATTTATTTTGTTTTTGTTTCTCTACTTTTTTTATTCGGCATGCAATTTTATGTAAGCAGCTGCTGCAGTCGCTGCCATAAAGCAATGTTAAGCAATGCGTAAGCCAGCCAAACCAAAACCAAAACCAACCGCCAAACCAACCAAACCAAGCAAACCGACCGAAAGCCGCCATGTAAATGATGGCTATATATAAATGTAAATTGCCACAGCGTTCCATAAACATATCTTGTTTACCTATGCTGGTCCAATGACCCAATCAAATGTCCACACACATTTCTATAAGTATTCCGCGGTTCGCCTGGCACTGGGTAAATATGCCATCATTACCCCTCCGCCAGAATTGTGTTGAGTGCCTTGGCTTTTGGCAAAAATGGGACGAAAGTATGCCGGATATGGATACGCTTGCGATTTACGACCAAAGGGGAAAGCTTCCAGTCGCTAAATCGTTTTGCAAGTGCCGCTTAGAGGAAGTCTTGGCTGGAATCTGGGTTAAGAACCTGAAAGGAACCCACTCAAGGAAGTGATATTCTACACCCAACGTCTGAGGTTTTAGCTGGCAACTTGTGATGTTGCCAAGGGGTTGCAACTGCACTTGCAACACGTTAACCTATTGTTAAAAAATACAGAATATCTAGAATACATTTTTCTTTATATTTTTTTAAATGTATTTGCAAATTCCACAAATTTAAAATTTGCCTAAGAATGTTATAAATTTCTTTGGGAATTTAATAATTTTAATATTTAGCAAAATAAAATAGTTTTAGAATTTTATTAGGTTTATAGTTTTATTACTGTTGCTAATTACTATCTTTAAAATATAGTATTTCCAGAAAGGTTTTAAGTTTTTAGTTTGTCCAACCTAGTCACCGAATTTTCATGTTATATTTTTTTATCGCTTTATTTATGCACGGAATAAACAAGTGAAACTAGTTTAGATTTATCTTTTGTGACTTATGAACAAAAATGTGGCCTTCAAAAGTGATGTTCTTCTCAGCGAAGCAATAGCTGTGCTGCTGCTAATAAAATCTGGAATTAAGTTTAATTTCCCTTTATCTATAGATAATTGTTTCTGGCGAAAAGAAAGTTCCCCGCCATCGCGTAAATGCAATTAGCAAACTTCATTGCTCATCTTGCGACTCGTATAGCACATATATTATACAGTATATAGAGAGGTCTTCAAGTGGCCAGCCTGCTAATTAGTTATGAGCCTCGGCAATCCAACCTGCTGGCAGATGTTTTTTTGTTTCTGTTTTTTTTTTTTTGATGCTGATGATGTCTTCGACTTGATCAATTTTTATTTCCAGGCACTTTGTTCGCTGTGTGTAAAAATTCACTTCGATGAATGAAGCCCAGTAAAAGTGTGTATATAAGAAAAAATGAAAAAAAAATGGAAAAAAAACCGGCATGGCTCACACACACGCATACGCAATCAAAGTCGAGTTTTTGGTACGGATCGCTTATGTAATCCGGTGTTGTTTCTCTTTCGGTTGCTGACCAAAATCCAAAAAGATTTGGGCCCATTGTGGCTGCGGCTGTTGTAACACTTTGGCATTTTAATATGAAAATCCGTTTAAGATATTTATGTGTGACTCACAAGCAAATGTGGAATATGTGTAGTACTTCCTAGTCAGCCGCCCAGCCGCCCCTTTCTGTTATGACAACGGGGCGTGGCACTTGCATCTGATTAGCCCGGGCGATTTGCATATGAAATTCATCTCATCACATCACAATATCACAAAATCACACCACATGCGATTATGTAAGACGCGATTTGATGGGCGACCTTCATGGGAACCACTTCTTCGAGTTCGTGTCTTTGGTCTTTTGTTTCGCCCAGATTTATGCGATCTCCAATCTCTGTGGTCTTCCCCCTCCGAAACCCCCTAAAGCCGATTCGATCCATCGATGTCACTGTGTCAATGCTGATGGCCCACGGCGATCGGATCCGCGATCTGCAATCTCGATATGCTAATTGGCTTCCGCCTCGTGCTGGCCAGAAATCTTTCAAATCGAATCGAACTGATATAATTACTATTGTCTGAATTGTTCAAATACCTAATGTTCTTTTTCCTTTTTCCTCTATTGCAGTTCCGGCGTGGAGCGGCCTGGCAAACGCTCTTCCTGCTCTGCGCTCTCGCCTATTGCATAAATGGTAAGTGTTATTCTCAATAACTTGAACAGAACTTAGGAAAAATAATATTAATAAACGTATAATACACTTAAATATTTTTGTATTTAAAAAAAATATATATATTTCAATAAATATTTTAACAAGTTTATTTCGTTTTGTCACATTGACCAACTGCCTTTATAAATGATTTATATTTTTATTGGTTTATCATTTTTAATAATTCCTTTTTTTTCAAACTTATAGTTTTAAACGCCTCTAAGTTTTTAAATAATAATTTTTTCATTTATTTGTATCAATTTGGAATATTTGTATTTTATTTTATTAAATTGTGATATATTAGATTCGACAAATTTTTTAATTCGCATTAAAATGTTCAACTAAATACCTTTTTAATGATAATAAAATTATTTAATGATTCGATTATACAAGCTATTATATTTTATTAAAAATTCTATACATTTTTAAGTCACTTAGGACATTTTTATTTGATTATCATATATTATCTATTTAATATAAATGATTAGGCAATTTTAATTAACTTCCGTAGCTCATCTCTAAGCCGTCAAAAACAGAAAACTTAGCTTCTGTTACCTCTGATTAACTTTTTAGTCTTTCAATATATATTTTTTTAGTTACTACAAGTCAATTATGCTTCAAAGGCCGTCACTAAATTATTTTATATTTTCTACTCTCATTCCAATTTGGATTCCATCAAAAACAGAAGCCAGCAGCGAGGGTCGCGTGGTCTGCTACTACACAAACTGGAGTGTCTATCGGCCGGGCACCGCCAAGTTCAATCCGCAGAACATCAATCCATACCTGTGTACACATTTGGTGTACGCATTCGGTGGATTCACGAAGGACAACCAGATGAAGCCCTTTGACAAGTACCAGGACATCGAGCAGGGTGAGCAGAAAAACACACAGACACGCCCCCTTCTCCTTCCGGCCAGTTAATTTGACTCGCCTTTAATTTCCTGTCCGTCTGATGATGATTACAACCCCCTGAATTCCATCTCCTCCTGCTTTCAGGTGGCTATGCCAAGTTCACTGGACTCAAAACGTACAACAAACAGCTGAAGACCATGATTGCCATCGGCGGTTGGAACGAGGCGAGTTCCAGATTTTCGCCCCTGGTGGCGAGCAACGAGCGCCGCCAGCAGTTCATCAAGAACATCCTGAAGTTCCTGCGCCAGAACCACTTCGATGGCATCGATCTCGACTGGGAGTATCCGGCTCATCGCGAGGGCGGCAAGTCCCGCGATCGCGACAACTATGCCCAGTTTGTCCAGGAGCTGCGGGCCGAGTTCGAAAGGGAGGCGGAGAAAACGGGACGCACCCGACTCCTGCTCACCATGGCCGTGCCCGCCGGCATCGAGTACATCGACAAGGGCTACGATGTGCCCAAGCTGAACAAGTATCTGGATTGGTTCAATGTGCTCACCTACGACTTCCACTCCTCCCACGAGCCGTCGGTCAACCACCACGCTCCGCTCTATTCGCTGGAGGAGGATTCCGAGTACAACTACGATGCCGAGCTGAATATTGTGAGTTGGAACGAAAGTTCTTAATTCAAGAACAATTTTCTCTTAGTTCCCCCTAAATTCAAGAACAATTTTCTCTCAATTCTCCCTTAATTCAAGAACAATTTCTCTCAATTCAAGAACAATTTTCTCTCAATTCTCCCTCAATTCAAGAACAATTTTCTTTCAATTCAACAGTAATTCTCTCTCAATTAAAGAACAATTTTCTCTCAATTCAAGAACAATTTTCTCTCAATTTAATAACAATGTTCTTTCAACTCTCTCTTAATTCAAGGACTTTGTCTCTCAATTCAAGAACAATTGTCTCACAATTCTCCCTCAATTCAAGAACAATTTTCTCTTTGAAATAAACTCTCATATTACTTTATTTCTCATTTTATATAATAACCTTTACAGGACTACTCCATTAAATACTACCTGAAAGCGGGTGCCGATCGGGACAAGCTGGTCCTGGGCATTCCCACCTATGGACGATCCTACACTTTGATCAACGAGGAGAGCACCGAACTGGGGGCACCTTCCGAGGGTCCGGGAGAGCAGGGTGATGCCACGCGCGAAAAGGGATACCTGGCCTACTATGAAGTGAGTGTTTAACTACTGATGAATATATTCAACCATAACTAAACCACTTTAATCGCCACCCCACAGATCTGTCAGACCCTCAAGGACGATCCCGAGTGGACGGTGGTGCAGCCGAATGCCAATGTGATGGGTCCCTACGCCTACAGGCGCAACCAGTGGGTGGGCTACGATGACGAGGCCATTGTGCGCAAGAAGGCCGAGTATGTGGTGGCCCAGGGACTGGGCGGCATTATGTTCTGGGCCATCGACAACGACGATTTCCGCGGCACCTGCAACGGCAAGCCCTATCCGCTCATCGAGGCGGCCAAGGAGGCCATGGTGGAGGCACTGGGGTAGGGATTTATTTATTTATTTAATCAAAAAGAAGCACAATTTAATTCTTACCTCCATTTCAGACTGGGCATCAACGAGGTGGCCAAGCCAAGTGGTCCCCAGAAACCGTCGCGATCTCGCAGTCGCGACAATGCCAGCACCAGGAATCGTCTGAATGGCAAGACCGAAGCCACGCCCAGTTCAAGGAGGCCCAGTGCCACCAGAAGGCCAGCCATAAGCTCCACCAGCACCACCCACGCACCGCCACCGAGCACCACCTTCAAGCTAACGGAGGCCGAGGGCTCTTCGCTGTATATTGGAGGCAGGGCCTCCACCACACCGCCACCGCCCACGACTCCCGATCCGGGCTCGGACTTCAAGTGCGAGGAGGAGGGCTTCTTCCAGCATCCCAGGGACTGCAAGAAATACTACTGGTGCCTGGACAGTGGACCCTCTGGCCTGGGCATTGTGGCTCACATGTTCACCTGTCCGTCGGGACTCTACTTCAATCCGGCCGCCGATTCCTGCGACTTTGCACGCAATGTGCCCTGCAAGACCAAAAAGTGGGTATATATTAGATATCATAATATCTAATTAAAATTCTTCCCTTTGCTAAAAATGTTTTGTTGATTGTTTTCCACCCAAACAATTCATAACTTTTTTTGCGACCATACAAATGCTAAAAATTCAAGGCAACTCAGATATTTTTCATAAAAAAAACAGTATTTTTTTCTTGCGAGTGCGGAAAGTTAAACGTAATTTCCAAGGTATAGTTTCTTGGGCAATATTGATTAGAACTGTCCATAGAATACGTTCCAAATCGACCCACTCTAGTATATATCATCTAAACTAATATAAAATTGGACCTTTAAAAAACGGTCAGTAGGAAATTTCACCCAGAACGGATTAACATAAAAATCTAAAAAAAAATCACATTAATTACTAAAATAATTATTATTTATATTATTTAATATTAAACTTTATTTTCTTTATTAAGATCCACCACAGCGGCACCGGCAGTGAGCTCCACCACACCGCTGACCACCACAGTGCGTTCGAATCGGGTGACTGCGGCGCCCACAGCTCGTCCCGTTTATCCACGAACCACCAGCAGCACTAGCACCACCAGCACTACAACCACCACCACAACAACCACCCCGTCGTCTGTTGATGAAGATTTGGAGTACGAGGAGGACACCGATGAGCTGTCGCCCAGCAAGTCGAGCGATGCCGAGGAGGATCCGCAGGTGATCAAGGAGCTGATCGATCTGATTCGCAAGGTGGGCGGTGTGGAGCAGCTGGAGAAGCATCTGCTGCGCAACAAGGATGGCTCCATTACGTTGAAGGAGAATTCCGCGAGTGGTGCGGCCACCACACCTTCTACTATTAGTAAATCTCTGTACGATCGTGTGTTGAGTCGACCTGGCACTTTGAGTTCCTTCACCCGCAATCGCTTCAAGATCAGCGAAGCCACCGAGACGAGCACGGAGGCCAGCTCTTCTTTGAGTAGCTCTTCGAGTGGCTCATCGAGTGGCTCATCGAGTGGCCAATACTCCAAATACTCCTCCGTCCTGAGGGGCAACAGCCGCCAGGGTCCACAGAACGAGGGCATTGAAAAGTTGGCCGAGTTCGATGGCTTCCTGAAGGAGCGCAAGCAATATGTGACCATCAATCGCCATCGATCGGCGAGTCAGGGCGATGAGGAGCAGGAGGAGGATCAGCAGGAGGAGGAGGAGAACCTGGCCGAGGTTCAAACAACAACCACCCGTCGTCCGCTGAGCTCAGTCACCCCCTCTTACACGAGTCTCAGACGCACCAGGCCCACCACAGTGGCACCGCCGGCAGAACAACAACCACAGCAGCAGGAGGAGAAGGAGGCGGTGGAGCAACAGACCCAGACTCAGGTCAAATCCTATGCCACCTTGAGTCGCACGCGTGGACGCACCACTGCACCACCAGAGGTCACGGAAGCGGCGCCCAGTTCGACAACCAATCGGTGAGTGGTTTAAAAATATATATCCATTAAATCTTAAATGATATCTATTTCATTCTTACCTTGCCAGTTACAAATACTTTGAGCGTACGCGACCCACCAAGAGTGCCAGTGCCACTGAGGATGCCAACGATGAGCCGACGGAGGACCAGGAAGAGGAGGAGTACGAGGACGAGCAAAAGGACATTGTTACGGTACAGAGCAAACAAAGCACAAACACACGTAAATATGCGAGCATCGGCCGCAGAACAACAACCACCACAACAGCAACACCAGAAACTACAACAACAACAACCGCCGGCACTGAGACTGCCAAGGCCAGCACCACCACCACCACCAACAAGAACAACAACCACTACAACAGCAGCAATAACAACTACAACAATGTGAAACTGAATAACCTAATACCAACAGAAGAGAACAACACAGCAACACCCAGCACCACCGCCCAATCCGAAACCACCACCACCACTACAACTAACGAAACCACTGAACCAAATGAAAGCACCTCAACCACAACCATAACTAATAACCTGCATACCATCACCACCACCACCACCACACCCACACCCACACCAATTGTAGCCTCCACTGTCCCAACAACAACAACAACCACCTCCAATGGCATTAGCTCAGACTCTCTGCTAGCCACCGAGCTGAGCGAAGCCTCGCCCACCCTCCCTCCTTCCAATCCCGACATAGAAACAACCACACCGACAACAACCACCTCAACCACAACAACGGAATCCGAACTGGCCACTACAACCACACCGAGAACAACAACCACAACAGGCAACATCGAACTGAATGACGTGAACAACAACGACGTGGACGAGGACAGCGAGGTAACGAAAACCAAGACCCAATACAAGTATGCGACCACCAACCGTCGACGTATAACCACAACAACAACAACCACCACCAACAACAATGCAGAAGCAGCGAACGATGCTAGTCCAACAAACGGTTTGAGTAGTTTAAATAGCATTAGAACCAACCCGGGCAGAAGGAAACCCCAATCAGAACAACAGACCACCCAAACAACAACCACCGAACCAACCATTTCTAGTCCCCGACCCTTTGGTTATCCCCGACGTCGCACACGACCCACCAGCACAGTCAGCACTAGCACAACCACAATTCCCCAAACCGATAATACCGATAATAATAACAATACCGATAATAACGATAACGAAACCGGAGCAGTTGCGCAAGTAGTGAAGAAGACACGACTATCTCCAGGGGATAGGCCCAAGGTGAGTGCCAGTCTTCCAACAGCAACAGCAATCTCCAACTCACGTACCAAAAGCAAAACAACAACCTCCTCACTGCACCACCAAGAGTCCCAAGTAGAAGTAGCTAATGGTAACGGTGGCAATGATAGCTTAAGGCATGAAGTAGTTAGCTCTAGTTTAAGTCAATCCCAAAACCACATCGATACCGAAAGCGATAGCGATGCTGCCCCCCAATCCCCAACAGAACCACCCACCCAGCAGCATCTGAAGTACACTTGGCGAGCGGTGCGACGCCCAGTTGCCAATTCTTTAGCGGGCGACGACAAGGACTCCCGACGCTTCGCCGGCAAGCAGTTGAACACCGAAGAATCCGATGGCGAAGAGGATCTCCAGCAGACCACGAAATTCCGCAGTCGTCGCCTCAATTCCGCCGAGGATGAGTCCGAGGTGGCCCTCGAGGTGGCAACTCGTGGCTCATCCCGCAGCTACCAAAGCATCCAGCGGTCGACTGCTAGCAAAACCACCGAAGACGAGTCTCAGATCCGCTACAAAGCCATCACTCGCGATTCCGAAGGTGGAGCTCATCTCACCGCCGGACGGAGTTCCAGTTTTGTGAGGAATCTCGGTGAGGCAGCGAAAACCACGCGACCACAGCAACCAATAAGCCGAGGAGGCCAAATCTTGGAGAGCACCACTGAAGATGAAAATGTGGCTGCCGAGATAATCGATGACGAGAAGAGGGGCGAGACCAAGGCGCCAGCTGGAAGTGTAAATACTGATGATAGTAACACGGCCACCGAACAGGAATCTCCTGAAATTGTTACTGAAGCTGCACCACCACAGCTGGAGGTCTCTTCTTCAGAAGCACCTGTCAGCAGCACCACTGAACAAGCGGAAGAAAGTCTAGGAAGCACCACAGAATTGAAATCCGTCGATGCAGAGCCCAAGGAAGCTAAAGACACCATTGTAGAGAGCAACAACGAAGAATCGTCGACTGAAATCAGCTCTTCCGAAGCCCCAATTAGCAGCACAACTGCACAATCTGAAGACTTTAGCAGCAGCACCACTGAATTAATTTCGGAAGCCTCCAGTGAAGCCTCTGCAAGCAGTTCAGAAGAACCAGAAAGCAGTAGCACCACAGTGGCTAGTGAACAAGAAACCACGACAACTACAGAGAAACCAACTCGACGTACATTCAACCGCTTTAGCTCAACCACAACTGAAGCTGTGCCAGAAGAAGAAACCACTTCCACGGCAAACCCAAGACGTCGTGTAATCGTGCGCACCAGAACTAGCACCACTGAAGCAGAAAGCGAAGTCCAGTCAACCACAGAAGGACCAAGAAGACGCGGCTTTTACAGAACCAGCACCACTGAGGCGCCTAGCAGCCAGTCTGAAGTGGAAAGCGAAGTCCAGTCAACCACTGAGGGTCCAACGCATCGTTCTTTCCCTAGAAGTAGAACCACTGAGGCAACCAGCACCACTGACGCAACCAGCACCACTGAGGCTACTAGCACCACTGAGGCAACCAGCACCACTGAGGCAACTAGCAGCACAACAGAAGCTCCCAGCAGCCCCACTGAACCAGAAAGCGAGGTCGAGACAACCACCGAGAGTCCGACGCGTCGTTCATTCTTCAGAAGCAGCACCACAGAGGCTCCCAGCAGCACCACTGAAACTTCTAGCTCCACTTCAACTGAAGAAATCAATAGTAGCTCCATTGGTGAAGAGGTTGAAGCCGATACAACAACCACCCGTCGTTCGCTTTTCCACAAGAAGACGCCGAACACCACGGAAGCCACAAGCACAACAACCTCTGAAGATATCGACGTAAGCAGCTCCACCAGACGTAGTCTCTTCCGCACTAGGAGCACCACAGAGGGCACCAGCAGCACCATAACAACAACCACCGAAGGAGCTAAGGAGGCTGAAGACGAGAGTGAGTCAACAACTGCTTTGCCACGACGACGTGTTATAGTCAGAGGCAGTTTTAGGCCACGCAAAGAGGGAGATCTCTCGTCTCTTCTGGCGGCAGATGGCAACAAAAGAGCCAGGAAAAACCAGAGCACCACGAGCACAGAAACACCTGATGCTCCATCGGCTGCTACCAAGGAAGAGGAAACCGAGCAACAAGAACCGCAAAGTGTGGAGAAGTTGAGCACGGGTCGAACTTCGCTGAATGCCGTTCGCAACCGCACCACCACAAAAACCGAGAGCCTGGGCAATGGAATCACTCGCACTCGCACCACCTATGTGCGCACTCTGGACGCCGGGCAAAAGGTTGTGAAGCGCATCCACACCAAAACGGTGGAGGAGAAGCCCGCTGAGTATGAGTACGTTGTCGATGAAGTGACCCACCCACCACCGCCCAGCACCACACCGCGTACAGTGACCCGCAATCGTGGATCCGTGCGCTTCGAGAGCAACGATCTTTCTTCCCTGCTGGCCCTGGACTTTGCCTCGCGCAGCAACCGCAAGAAGCAGGCCCAGACAGAGGCGACGGTGACCAAGACGAGAAGACGCCTGCTTAAGAAGCCCAAGGAGACCATCGAACACGAAGAGGTTGAGGAGTTCGAGTACGAAGCGGGTCAGGATGGCAACGAAGTGGAAGAGACACCACGTGTGAGCACCACAGCCCGGCCAATAATCCGAAGGACCAGGCCGACTAGAGGTAGTACGACAACAACCACCGAACAACCAAACGAAATCGAGGCCAGCACTCGCAGGGCAAGCTTCGCCTTTAAGCGACCCTCGAAGGCCAGCACAACCACTGAAGAACCAACTACTACCTCTTCAGAAGGCACCACCAGAAGAGTTCTCAACGTTAGAAGACCCTTGAGAACAACAACCACTGCGGCTCCCGTGGAAGATGAGTCCACGGAGGAAGCCACATCTGCTCCTGTAGAAACCACCACTAGAAGAGTTCTTGCTTTCAGAAGACCCGTAAGCACAACAACCACAGCGGCTCCAATTGAAGATGAGTCTACAGAAGAAGCCACCGCTGCTCCTGTAGAAGCCACCACCAGAAGAGTTCTTGCTTTTAAAAGACCCGTAAGCACAACAACAACCACCACATCAGCTCCCGTTGAAGATGAGTCTACAGAAGATCAGTTGGCGGCGGCGAAGAAACAGTTTGTAAATCGCTTGAAGACCAGCACCACTACGACAACAACAACCACCACCACAGAAGCAAGCACAACTGCAGCCACCGAAGAAGATTTGAGCGATCTCAAAGTACAGCTGAGCAATGCCATAAATCGTTTGCAGACAGAGAATAAACTAGAAGCCCAGACCATCAACAAGGGAAGTGAAACGTCCGAGGGTGATGGCGATGATAAGCTTTCCTTGCCGATTTACCACAGAAGAAAGTACTATCAGTATGTGAAGGATTCGCCGATCACCTACATAGACAAGTCGCCCGCACCGCCAGATATTGAAAGTGTGACTGTGAACATTAAGCAGCAAATCCACGATGTGTTCAATGTGAGCGAAAATGAGTCACCGAGCAATTCTCTAGGCGATGAGGGCGAAGAGAGCGACGGCCATCGCCAGGCGATGGAGCAGGCCAAGGAAATCAATGCCGAACTCGGTCATTTTTTATTGAAAACCCCCGGGTCAAAGTAGGTCACCCGGGGGCAAAGTTGGTCGGATCAGGAGAGGAAACCCTAGACGATGATGAGATAACCGCTGAAATCGATGAGGATGAAGCTGATGATGACGAGGATGAGGGTAACGAGGGAAGAGTGAAGTCCCAGCGACAGGGAAAGACATTCAAGACAATACCACTAGCAACAGACTCGAGCAACGAGACCTCCAAAATTGTGAGCTATTCCCTTCTAGAAGAAAGGGAACGAAGCGAAGATGAAGCCAGGGCTTTACGCACCTACACCAGACTAAACCGCACCCGCTTGACCCTGTCTACCAGATTGCAGGAGAAGACCCAAAATGAACCACTAGAAACGACAACCAGAAGAAGCTACAGTGTTCCACAGCGCTTCCGTGTTCGCTCAACGACACCAAAAACATTGGCAACGGAAAATAGTGAGGAAGATGAAGAAGAAATTAAGGAGAAATCCCAGGAAGAATCGCTGGTAGCCAGTTCAACAACAGAAGTACCCACCAATAGCTTCAAGAAATTCCCCACCAGAAGAGTGTTCAGCCCCAGAAGACCCGTGAATGCAGTAGAAAACTCTGATTCTTCTGATACACGTACCGAAAGTAAAGCAGAAGAAGACGAAGATGAAAATAAAGAGAAAACCCAGGAAGAATCGCTTGTAGCCAGTTCAACCACAGAAGTACCTACCAATAGCTTCAAGAAGTTCCCAACCAGAAGAGTGTTCACCCCCCGAAGACCCGTGAATGCAGTTGAGGACTCTGATTCTTCTAATACCCGTAAGTTTTTTTACGAAAAAAACTATAAATTTACCTAATGCCATTACATTAAAATATAAAACCAAACTAACTAACAAATTATTTATTTTTTTTAGAAAACGACAACGAAGAAGAATTAAAGGTGGAATCAACGACAAGGCGCGCCTATGCCGGTTTGAACCGATTGAGAGGCAGGGGAAGTAGCACCACCACGACCACCGAGGAAGCCACTGATTCAACCACCGAATCAGCCACAACCAATGAAGTCAGGAGCACAAGGCAACCTTATGTGGGCATTAGTCGTAGAGTTACGACTACGACAGCCGCAACTACAACAACCACTGAGAAGCCAGCGGAGAATGAAATTGAAATTAGTGACCATGAAGAAGAAGACGAAGAGTCAACCACTCTTAGTTCTCTAAACGTGGACGACATTGAGGAAAATAAGGTTGAGATTAAGGAAACAGAAGAAGACGTCGAAAATAAGGCCTCCGAAGAACCAGAAGACAGCACTGAAGAGCCCGAATTGGAAGCCCATATAGACGATGACAATGAGATCCCTCTAGAAGAAAGCGGACCTAGTACCGAAACCACAACGACAACAACAACCACTACAACCACCACTACACCGGTGAGCACCACCACCACTCGTCGTCAGTTGGTAATTCGTCGCCGTTTTAATGGCACCGTAATAACAACAACCACAACCACCACGGCTGCCCCAGACGCTGATGAAAATCTACAGAATGAGATCGATCAAAATGATACGGAGAGTTCAACACCAAAAGCGGCAACTACAACTCCACCAAGGCGGCAACTTTTGATACGCCGACGCTTCAATGCGACCAAAACAACAACGACAACCTCAAATCCCAGTGCCGACAATGAAATAGATCAGGGCGACTCAGCTACGGCAACAACAACCACCACCACCACACGGCGAACGATTCTGTCACGTCGCCGTTTTAATGCGACTTCCATCTCAGCAACCACGACGGGATCAACGAACGGCGACGAGATTAGCACACGTCGTCCGTATGCGGCCTTGAACCGCTCACGTAATCGCTTCACAACACCGCGAACAACAACCACCGACGGTGGGGAAAATGACGGCGATGATGATGATGATGACGACGATGAGGAGCAGGTGTCAGTGTCACCGCCACGTGCCGTCTTCCTTCAAACGAACCGCCATCGAGCTCTGCAACGCACACCCGAGGAAGAAGAGGAAGAGGTGCCGGCACGTAAACCACCCAACTTTGCAGCTCGTCGCACCACCGGAGCACCACCGAGACTAAGCTCCAGCACAAGACGCAATCTGGTGGCACTCAATAGAAATCTATACCACCGAGCGGAGGGATACGATGATCAGGATGGGGAAGAGGAAGAACCGGAAGAACCCGAAGAGGATGATAATGAAAATGAAGAGGAGGAGGAGGAGGAAGATGAACAACAACCATCCGTAGATCCCCAAATCACAAGCACCACTGCACGTTCACGACTTGGTCAACTGCTTGCCAATAGGCAAAGACAACCACTCAGGACAACAACCACCCAAAAACCGACAGAGACAAAAACTGACTTGGACAATGAAGAAGATAATGAAGAAAACGATGATGATAATGATGATGATAGCTCCGCTGAGGTATCGAACAGTAACCACACACTTAACCACAACAACACTCGGGGGGGAGGCACCACCACTAACCCTAACAATCTTACTAACCGTAGCACCGCACTGAATGTAGCTAGTCAACGTAGTAACAGCACCGTAGCCAATTATATTAATCGATTCAGGTCAAACAGTTACACAAACAACAGCAAAAACAAACCAGTCACAGTCACAGCTAATCTTAAGCCAGATAGTCCAGATAACGGAGATGATAATGATAATGTTAACGATGATGATAACGATGCTAGTCTAGAGAATGTTGAGGGGGAGGAGAAGAGAACGAGTGGGGCTGGTTTGAATGCCTTAGGTAATGATGTTAATTCCACACGACGCTTTCAGAATCGTTATCAATTGAGCCGCACCAGAGGCAGCACCACCAACACCACCCCAACAACACAACAACCCCCAACAACAACCACCACAGCCAGAAGACTGGCCTTTGGGGGCCGTCAGCGTGGCCAGGTAACTAAACTAACCCTAGTCGATGAGCAGACTGAAGAACACAAAGAGGAAGATGATGATGGAGAAGAAGAGGAGAAGGAGGCGGAAGAAGACTCCAGCACAACAACAACCACCACAACCACCAGCAGACCAACACCAAAGCGCATACGTGTGCTGAAATTCCGCAGACCCTTGAATAGCAATAGCAATAGTACCACTGTAGATAGCACCACTAATAGCGCCACTGACACTAATAACCCAGACACCACCACACCAACAACAACCACATTGAGCCAAAGCAGCAACACCACCACCACCACAAACACCACTGGCAACAAGCGTTTCCGCAAAATTGTCCGCAAACTGAGGCCTGTGGTGGACTCTTCGAGTACCGCGTCTAGTGTGGACAATTCCGAGGAAACCACCCGTAAACCTTTCGTTCCCAGCCACACCAGATTCACGGATTTGCAGGACAACAACAACGATCTGGTGAATCTTCGCCAGCGGATCAAGGAGCAGCAATCACGGGGCGAGCCGCAGGATGGTGTGATCAGCAATCGATTCAAGACCCTCGGTCAAAAGGACGATCAGGATGTTTCGGATTTGCAGAGGTTGCGCGACAAGGTGAAGGCCGAACAGGCGAGAGGAGAGGGTGAGCAGGGTGTGATCAACGATCGCCTGAAGAAGTTGCTGGCCGAAAAGGGCACAAGTACGAATTCTCGCCAGAGAGAAGAATCCTCGGCCACAGAAGACGAGTCTTCCGCGTCGGTTTCCTCGGCCAGACCCTTCTTCAAACGCAAACTGGTGGCCCGTCGACCCTATACACCAACCTCGGGCAGTGGTGGCACCACCAAGGCACCACTCGCCTTCAGCACCACCCGACCCACCGCGAAGTTTGTGCGCAAGAAGAACGGCCGCTTCGATCCCTTCAACTCGAGTGTTCGCAATCGCGGCGAGGGCTTCGTGAGAAGCGATCCCCGTGGCTCCAGATTGCCGGGAGCCGATCGCTTCAAGAGTCAGTCGGAAGACGGTGAGGAGGTGGAAGAAAGGCATGTGCAGAATCAGTTTGCCACCACCTTGCGACGACCTTTTGTGCCGAAGACGCGATCGGAGGTGACTAAACCACAGCAGGTTGGAGATGAAGAGGGCAGTGAGGAAGAAGACGACGAGGAAGAGGAGGAGGATTCCGAGGAAGAGGGCGGCGACGAAGAGGAGGATGAGGAAGAAGATGAGGCGGCTGAGAAGAATCAGCCGGAAGAGGAGGAGAAAAAGTCCCAGAACAACCCGTACAAGCCCAAGGATAACCGCGTGCTGCCGGGCAGTCGACCCACCTTTGGAGCCACCGGAAGTGGACCCACTGGCTCCGCAGGCAACGTGCCCTTCAATCCCCGCCAGCGTCCATCATCTTCAAGCAGCATTGCACCACCGGCCAACCGCTTTGGCACCACCAAGCGACCACGCGTCGTCAACCGACCACCCGGAGTGGCCTCACCTAACTTGACCTTGAAACCGGTGGCCAGTGATTACGAGCGCACCACACCGCTGACCCTTTTGAAGCCGGCACCCTTTATACCCAGCAATAATAGGAGCTACGAGCGAAAATACACGGGTCCCTCCACAGAGGCCTCTGAGACGGCCAGCGAGAATTCGCTGATCGAAGAGCTGAATATCGATGCGCTGAATGCGAGGAACAAGAAGATCTTCGACAAGCACAGCAAGAAGCATCCGGCACTGAAGCCCAAGGTGGTGAAGGTTGAGGAGGTGGAAACCGGAACGGAGGCGGTGGCGGTGGAGGAGGAAACCACCGAGGAGCAGCAGCAGGAACAGGGCTTTGTGACCACCACACCCAGTACACCACTAGCACCACCACCACCCAGCACACAGTCAGACACACCAGCCACCACCACCACAGACACCACGCCACCAGAAACAGAAACTGAAACTGAAACAGAAACTGAAATAGAAACTGTAACCGAAACTGAAACAGCGACCAATGCTAATGAAGCCACTTCCATCAATTCACAGGATCAATCGAGCAGCAGCAACAGCAGCAGCACCACTCAGGCACCACCGCCTGCCACCACCCTGCTGCATGTGTTCACCCTGCTCGAGGGTGAGGGTGAGTCCGAGAATGAGGGTGAAACCACCACCACGACGAGAAGGCCGACGCAGAAGGCCCGTCTTCATCCCACTGTGCAAACGGAGGTGGTGCCCAAGCACAAGTTGATCGAGATCAATCGCATTGTCGAGATCAATTCGAAGCAGGCCAAGGCTGCTCAGCGGAAATCGAAGGCTAATCAGGACTTTGGAACGCTGCGCGTGGAATCGCTGCCCCATGTGGAGCAGCTGGGCGAGATCAGTGTGGTGAAGTACGTCCATCTGGTGGATGGAAGTGATATTCAAATCAATGATGGCCACAGCACAGTGGCTGATTATACGCCCACGGAGCCCAACTTCTCAGCTTCGTCGGCACCTGTGAGGAATTCCCTGCCAGAAACGGAAACAACCGATACCGAAACCGATCGTAGTGGCAAATCCTTGGTTCCAGAAGTGCTGACCGGCGCCCTGGAGACCTCGACCATCTCGCTGGAGGGACTATTCGATTCCGCCAGGAAGGGCAAGCAACTGAGCAGCAATAGCATTATCAGTGAAACAGAAGAGAGCACCACCATTAGCAGCAGCAGTGCTGCGGCCACCGAAACCACCGGGGAGACAACCACACCGGCACCCACTTACGTAAGACCCATTGTACCCCTCCTACGACCCGAGTCCAATGAGTCCTCGCCCCTGGTCATTTCGATAGCCAATCTCGATCAGGTGATTCTGAGCAAGGTGCAAAAGTCGCTGGCCGAGAAGAGCCGAACCCCTGCCGATTCTTCTGACTCAAATTCGGCCTTCTCGCTGCGCCAGCCGCTGGTGGTGCAGGCTCCAGAAGCCGCAAACACGAACACACTCAACACTGAAGATCAAACGGTCAATGGTGCTGTGCAAACAACAACCACTAGGCCATCAGACGATCAGGTGGCTGAAGAGACCACAATCTTTAGCATTGAGACCGCCACTGAGCCACAGATTAGTACACAAATAACACAAGACAGTGAAACACTAACAGCCAGGCCAATTGGTGCTGTGATTATGGGTCAGCTTGGTCTAAACACACAAACAACAACCACCGCTGACAACGGCAATCAGGAAAATACTCAAACAACGAGCACAATTAGCAGTGCTGACAACAACAACAACAACAGCCACCAAGAAAATACTCAAACAACAATCAGTGGCGCTATTAGTTCCGAAGCTATTAGTAACAAGAACAACAACCACCTGACACTCGATACACAAACAACAGTCACCAAAAACAGTCCAGAAAATACGCAAACAACAACAACCACAACCACAATTGGCGCAATTAGTGGGGCTATTGGTGGCAGCATAAATCCGAGCACACAAGTAACAACAACCACCAATAGCAATAGCACCACCACTAGCAGCAGCAGCACCACAACCACAGTGGGCAGCAAAGTTAGCGAGGCAGTTAGCTTTAGTTCGGAGTCGCATGTGGTGCATCGCAAAAAGATGGGGCGCAAGGGGCGTGGCCGACGCCTGCGCAACCGCAAAACAACGACAACAACAACAACCACAGAGACGCCGACCACGGTGGAGGCGTCGCTTGACGACACCACCACGGTGGTTCCGGAATAGGTCACAAAAAGAACCACAAAACAACCAGAGAAAATCAGCGTAGTTAGTTATTTCTAGTCTTAGCCCTTATCTTATCCACAGAAGAGAGTCTTCTGCGAAATTAACCCTTTTGTTGCCAAAACCTTAGATAATTGGCTGCGTTGCTTTGGCTTAACAACAACAACCATGGCAAGAAAATCAAAAATCAAATTAAGTAAACAACCATTTCGGCTGCTTTTAAACTCTTTCCAAATTTCCCAGTGCTGCTGCTTTTAATTTGAATACTCTACTATATATATCTATTTTTTTTTTTGCTATGTAAATTATTTAAACAATTCGTATTCTTCGAGCTGCCATACCTAAACAACAACAACACCCACACAACATATACATCCACTCACACACATTCGTTCACACATGCAGATGCGAAAAGTCTTTCCTTGGTTCAAATATAGAATAGAAATCTAGAAATCTAGACAAACAACGACCCTCAGTGGATGCAAAATCTTGATCAACTTGAAGTAACTCTTAATGGCTTTTACCAGGCGCAGTTCTCTCTCACAATTCTATCTCTTTGCTAATCAATTTTTTTCACTCTTTCCCCCTCTATCCGAAATACTTTAAGTCTAGCTTTAGTTGTAAAATATTTATGCACAACAATAAAATAATGAACAAAAAGAAACAAACTATACAAATTATTATTGCCACAACAGAACACGATAAACTGCCCCCCGCCCCATCCACCTTAACTCCTTGAAACCAGAAACCCTAAAAATGTATAAAGCTATACATAATATAGGAAAAGATATTGGGAAAATAGTGTACAAAAATCGGTTAACTTTTATATTTTATAAACATGTATTTTCTTCTTTTCAGTACAATTTTCGGGACTTAAACTTAAAGATCTTTGGTTTGGGGAACTAAAAATAATATTTCTTAGTTAGGAAGTGTTAAAAATATTAAACATATAAGAAGTAATTTTATTAATTTATTTTTTTTTAAGATCTAAAGATCGTAAAAGTAGTTTCATCTCAGATTTTTCCAAACACTTTTCCCAGGCAATTTGCTGATCATTTTCTTGGATCGTGAAAATATTTTCGTAATTTGTTGATTATTTACCTTAAATTCCAAAGGTTACTGAAAATTCTTCTCCATGTCTTAAAGCAATTATAATTGCATCTATTTACCCCCTCCATTCGCCTTTCGATGCTCTTTCAAATGTCACTTGTAGAATTGCTTGTTATTTGCTTAGTCATTAGTCTGGGCTTCTTTTCCATGTTTTCCGTTTTTGTTTTTTTTTCTCGCTTTCGTTAAATGTCAGCCTGGCTTTATTTTAGTTTTTTTTTTCTTTCTGTATGAAGCGGTTATTGCCACATGCCTATTCATAGGTGTCTGTGTGTAAGCCTGTCTGGATAATCGGTTTCAACTTTCGATGAGTCCGCAAGATGTGCAAAGTCAGCGGGAAAAACGGCGAAAAAATATTAAAAAATAAAGAAAAACCGAAAATTGTAAAATAAAAACGAGCTCAGCTAAGACAATTTGCAAATTGCTGAGCGAGAGAGAGGGACTTTGCAGACGAGACATGTTTCATAATAGGCAGCTAGTCTCCTCGGAACGATAATTGCCAAAAGTCAAATCACGCGCCGCATAACAAACACGACGAACTGACAGGCGACACCAAAAATCAGGTTGACAAAAAGTCGTTAACAGTTTTTTTTCCTTTTTTTTGTATTTTTCAAGTGGGCTCGGGCTTGGAGATTTTTCCTTTCAAAGTGCCCGTGAAATGAAAAATCCCATTTGAAAATAATAAAAAGCCGCACAAAGCAAGCAATAAAAAGAAGCCATAAAAGAAGATCAAAGGTGTTGCTTTTGTCATCATCAGTTGGTTGAAGTGTACCCATGTCTATAGGCACAAAAAATAAATAATAGGGAGTGTTTACACAGAAAAAAAGGTTAACGAAGTGATCGCCGAGATATCTTAGAGGTGTGGAAATGAGATGCCACTTCAAAAAACAGATTTAAACTTTAAAAGCCAGATATGAAATTAAAGCAATTTAAATATTTCTTAAATTACTCTTTTTTTTTGAAAATAATAATCTTTATAAAAATATTAATTTAAAATTCTTACTCTTTTATTTTAAAATAATTTACTATTTTCCAAAGCTCAGTTTTGACTATTTTGCATATATTTGCAACCAACAATGAATGGCCACCCTTCTCTTTTATTTTATTTTATTTGCCCTTGAAACGGCAGCACCCTTTTGCTCGGCCGCTGCTTTCCCCGGCGCGTTCGTGTCTTGAGTCTTTTGTTTTGCCACTTTCACAACAATCGCATTGAGAAGCCAGAAAATCCCGCAGACGACGACGCCCTGCACGCATCATCAGTCTTTTGAGCTGACCAACTTGGCTTGCACAATATTTAATTAAAGTCCAACCAGTTTGCAGTGACCAGAAAAAAAACAACCAAACTGCGCATCTGCCAAAGAGGAAAAAATCAAGTGGGATTATGTCGGGTACGGCGATTATGTAATCACATTGGCATGCAGTCGAGTCGGCTTGCCAAATACCAAAAATGCCAGAAAAAGGCTGAAATAAAGGCTTCGATATCGGCGAATCTGCGAATCGACAAAAAGAAGAAGCCCATCAGCTTGAAGTTATGCAAACGCTTCGGCTGATGCGTATTTTTCCGGCCCATTCATTGTCTTATTTGAAGGTGCGACATTGACACCAAAAATCTCCAAAGGCAACTCTCTCTCAGCTTCTTTTTATACAGTCTCATTTGACTGGGAAATCTGCTGACTATTTCTTAAACAATTTTTTAATATTTTTTCATGGGTTTTTTAGGAGTTCTTTAATCCAAAAAATATAAAAAAAACAAATTATTTGTAAGATTTGAAGATATTGTAGCTTTTAAACCTTTTCTTACGCTTTTGAAGAAATCTTATAAATATTTATGATCTTAAAATTTTAAAAAATATTTTTTACACAGGTTTTTAAAGAGTTTTTTAATCTAAAAATTATTATAAATAAAATATTTATAAGATTGCTTTAGGAAAAGGTTTGAAATTTGATTTTGTTCCCCAAGAAAAATAACTTTCTATTTAAAAGTTGATCTCAAGAATCTTAGAAAAGTGTTCAAAGTTCAATTTTTCTGTAATTACAATAAATTCCAGTATAATTTGCCCTCTTTTGCCGCTTTCAATGTCAACAACATTGGCGGACTGGACAAAGCAAAACTAGCACAAAATAATAGCCGTGCAAATAACTTGTTATGCCTGTGTGTTTATATTTTTGTATTTATTTTGCACTCGAACGTCCTTCAATTAAAATGCCTGACTGCATTTTTGCGGTTGTTGCTCCACTTGCTCAAGAGGTGGTCAACTTGATCTTGCCGAGTTGTAAGGAGAGAAAGTACCTATAAGAAGGGTCGCCTTTCCTTTTCCCAATCTCCCAAACTTCCCAACCCACAGAGAGAAAAACACTCAACACAAACAGTACTAATTTATTTAAGGCTTATTGTAGTATGCATATTTTGTATCCAACTAATATTGTAAATTTATTAATATGATTTATTATTGTTTTTAGTCCAGCATGTAGCGCGCTTTTGAATTGTTGTTGACTGCACACACACCGCCAGGAAAAAAAGAAAAACACCACACAGCGAGTCGCAAAAAAATTGTAGAAAAATCCCAAATTCACTGTATGCTAAATTGAGTGCCTGTTTTTTGTATTATTTCATGTGCGACTACCGACTGGCAGCTGCGTCAACCGACGACTGGCAGCGTTTCGCGGCGACCGGTGTTGAGTGTCCGCCGGCGGATTATCAACTCACCGACGTCGGCGGCGGTTGAGGCCACCACCACGCAGCAGCCAGCAGAACCGCCAACGACCTCCAAATACAACCGACTGCGCAGCAGACCCTCGGCAGCAGCAGCAACTACGACAGCAGCAGCAGCAACCACAACCTTCCCAGCAGCAACATCTGTTGCTGGCGGCAGAACCAGCAGCAACATCTACCTGAACAAGCTGAAAGCTAAGAGCGGAGCAGCTGCGGCAGCATCCGGCGAGGCAGCAACACTGACGCCAGCAACTAGCAACATCAGCAGCAGCAGCAGCAACATCGCCAGCAATGACATCACACAAAAGCAACAGCAACACAAGTTCCAGCCCGCCAGCTTCGCGCTGCGCCGCCAATTTCAAACGCGTCGACTGACAACCTTCGCACCGGCGGCCAACGGCGATGAGAGTGGTGAGTACACGGAGAGAAAAAATTGAGAGTTGTGGAAAATAATTAAAAATAGGGAACCTTTTAATTTACCTAAATAAATAATTGAAACCCAGATTTATAAGAAATTACAAAGAATAATTATTAATATAAATAAAAAATAGGGTATACAAATTCAATTAAATTTGAGTAATTTGTATAAATTTATTTTCTAAATTATTTTAAACAATAATTAATTTCTCACTGTGCACTTATAGTTTACAACTCTCTCTACTTAAATTTCCTAAGGGTCTTATATTTTATTCGTCTTTTTATATACAAAACTTTATGTTAAGTAAAGCAGAAATGAGGCAGTGAAAAGAAAGCATTTTCTTTTCTCATTAAAATGTTAAAAATCCCATTTTTCCTGTTTTAAATTATATATCTAATGTGATATTATTGCGCTCCCCTTAGCCACCGATGTGCCGCGAACGCAGAACCCGCTCTTCAAGCGTCGCCTCACCCTGATATCCACCACACCGCCATCCGCTCGCACCACCAACCCACCAAACTCGGCCCTGGAAACCACCACCACGCTGTATCTGAACGACGACGACGAGGATCAGGTGGCCAAGTCGAGCATTCACACCAGCCGCTTCAACCAGATCCCGGAGCAAGTGCGTCCGCGCGAGGAATTCGAACTGCCATTGCCGGCGCAGCCACTGAAGAGCCCCAGCTCCACGGCCAGCACCACCGCCAATGCACCACTGCCAGTGATTAGCCAGGGAATAAGTAAGCCTTAGTTTGCCGAACCTATAAAAATCTTATCCACCGATTTCTGCAAGCAAAAATAATATTATTTTTTAAGTGTTGGAATTTTTTACAAAAAAGTATTTTATAATATTTATATTTATTTATTATATTTATATTAGCTAGGATCCAAAAATTAAATCTTCTGAGTTTTTAAATTTTTAGAACAATTCAATGTCAAATTGATTTAATTCGATTTCTGAAAAATAGCTGCAGGCCTTTCACTATCCTGTACTTGTCCCTAAAAAAATATATTTAAATCTACTCAATATAAACAAATGTGAAAATAATACAGATAAATGTTAGCAAATAATATTGGTTTATATGTACTTAAAAATTATTTTCAATTTCCCAACAGGACGCCAGTTGATACCGCGCCCCCGTCGACCGCAGTCGACCACGGCCACGCCCCTGACCACGCCCACGCTGGGCTCATCCCAGGGGTCGACCACGCCGGCCGGACACTCGGCTCCACCGCTCTCCCGTCGCCAGCAGAGTCGTCGTCGTCCGCACAAGTACATCGAGGTCTACAGCCGCCCGCCGGCCAAAAGTGCCGTGCTCACGGCCACCGCGAGCAGTCAGCTGGCGGCGGAGGACGGGGGCTACCAGGTGGCCCAGAGGCGGCGCAGCGGAAGCATCGCACCGGCCAAGAGTGGCCAGGACACCAAGGTCATTGTCCACGGGCGGGGAATCATCGAGTGCCGGGCGCAGGGCAACTTTCCGCACCCGCTGAACTGCAGGAAGTTCATATCGTGCGCCAGGTTCGAGGAGACCGGCGGCATCGTCGGCTGGGAGTACACCTGTCCCAAGGGACTCACCTACGACGGCGTCGGCGGGATGTGCACCTGGTCGCCCTCGGATCAGCCCTGCCGGGACTAGACTGATATAAAAAAAATAACAAAAAAACCACTGCCCCTAAATAAGCCTAGAAAAGCCCTAAAAAACCCTTAATCATTTACCCAAATCATATACCCTAAATCATATTCGATTGAAAAAGAGGAAAATCAAATTTTAAACCCATTTGTACATGTTTTTTCCCAATTTGTGATTTGTTCTGAAGCAGCCGAGATTGAAAACGAGAGAAGCGAGAGGAGAAGGAAGAAAGTGGAAATTCTACGTTAATTATTCTTATTTAAGCTTAGTGATATCTCAACCCAATTTTTTTTGCGCCTGCCAACTCAGTAGTAAGCAAGAAATATTGTCTGTAGTTCACCATCCCATATATATATAGCGCCATATATATGTGGTTGTGCGTGTGTACGCTATATACCATAATGGATAATATGCTTTCTTTATCAAATAAACATATCATGTAATCCAAACGTTTGGGTGTTTCATTTCCACTTAAGTATGTGGAACCTGTGGATAATATTTTATAGTTGGATTTTAAATTATCTTTTAATATTTAAAAAGTTCTTCAAATATTTAGAAAATTTATGGGTATTTTCATTTCATTTACAATTTTACGCCAAAAAACCTAATTTTTTTTTGTGAAAAATTTGCATTTGATTTTTTTTGGCAAAACCTTGATTTTTTTCTTTTCGTTTTTTTGATGTAACTTGGCAAAAAATGGTCCTACACCAAAAACAGATACTGTTTTGAATAGATAATAAAATAAGAAATAAATCCATGACACTTTCCGGGTGATCTTGAAAAAATAAAATTTTGGCAAGTTTTCAATTTTTTTATAAGGGGGTACATCATTATTTTTTACGAAAAATGTCAAAAAAAAAAAATGTCCCGCTTTGAATGCCAATCGATTGTAAATTTAATAACGAATTCAGAAAGGTATGATAACCCATATTTGGATGAATATTTCTATTGTTACGGTCAAAAAACCAATTATTTTTTTGTGAAAAATTGGGTTCTAATTTTTTGGCAAAAAATTGAATTATTTTCTCTTTGATTTTTTGCTGTAACTTGGCCAAAAATGGTCCTACACCAAAAGTAAATGCTGATGTTTTTTCTGAGGAATTTATAAAATAAAAATTAAAACTCTTATCGAATATTTTACAATGCAGAGATTTTTTATTGTCAATCCTAGAAAGCAAAGCTACAGTTGGATGGGGAAAGGGGGTGCTCATTCGACTGGGTTCGCTGCCAAAAATCTATAGAAATTTTCTAAATTGCAGTTGGTTTTTTATTGTGAATTAAAAAACGAAGCGTAACTAAAAGTAGGGGATGCTGTGAGCAGAGGCATCTGCTCGATGAGGATGTTCTGTGTGGGGTTGGTTCGCTCGCATGAGGGGTGTGCGATCGGGTCGTCATCTAAGGATCACTGCGGATCGAAGATCTACTGACGGCGGGAACCCTGGTTCGAGGAGGAGGAGGACTGGCGCCATGGCTGGTGGACCTGGTGGTAGCCGGTCTGCTTCTGGGCGGGAGTGCTGCGGCCGAAGGGGCTCTTGGAGTTCACCTGCAGCATGTAGTCGCCCTGGAGATCGAAGTCGGTGGCGATGCCCATGTAGCCGCGCTTTCCGTAGCCCTTGTTCTGCTTGTACTCCTGGTACGAGCTGGCGGCCACACTGGGGAAGTTCCTCTCGTTACCGGGACGCACTGACTCGGCGAAGTAGCGGGTGGCGCGCATGGCGGCCTCCACCACATTGTCGGCGCCGGGAACTCCGGTCGAGGGTCCGTTGGGGAAGAAGTCCACGTTGGCCAGACGCTGGCTGGTGCCCATTCCATAGGCCGAGGTGTGGATGGCGTCCACGAAGTCGGCATCGCCACGGGCCAGACCGGTCAGCTTCTCCTCGGGCTTGCCGTAGATCTTGGAGGGATCCAGAGCGGTGATGCGGCGCAACTTGTGTCCAGTCTGGCGGGTGAACTGGCGTCCAGCCACTCCGGCCACATGGGCAGCGGGTCCGGAGCCAATCAGATGGATGATCTCCTGGGGCACATTCACGGTGTTGGTCAGCTCAACCAGGCGGTTGCCGATGATCTCGCCCAGGCGCTCAATGTTCAGGGTGGCGTACTGCTCGAAGTCCTCGATGGCATTGCCCAGCTCGATGACGATCAGATCGCCGGTCTTCTGGTCCTCCTGGTCGTCGTTCTGCTTCCTGCGCTGGGATTGCTGCTCCTCGCTGGAGCTCCTCTGGCGCTGCTCCTCGCTGGACGAGTCCGAGGTGGTCGGGTAGGGCTGGAGGTTGTAGCGCTGCTGGTAGGCCTTCACCAGCTTACGGGTGGCCTTCTGCACCTGGGTGTTCGTCTCGGGCAGGCCCTGGATGAAGATGGTGACCTCGTCGTCGCCGAACTTCTGCTGGCGCTTCACCTTCTCCACCAGGTTGTTCAGGTTGAACTCGATCTTCTGGCCGCGCTCGCCGACAATGTAGCCCTTGATCTGGCTGGGCTCCGGGGTGTAGTCGGGCTTGAAGACGTGGTTGAACTGGGACAGGTGGTCTGGGGGGATGTTTTGGTTAGTAAAATAATTATTTAAAAAATTAAAAAATAAGACATATAAATATTTGCATACTGAAATGCAAAGATTCGTAGGATTAAACTGCCAGATTTAATTTACAAATATTTGAATCGAGTTGGAAAATATTAGATTTACTTTAATGGAGCTAATTAATTAATAAAATAATTATTTAAACAAGTTAAGAATGCATATTGGAATGCAAAGATTTGTAGAATTAAACTGCCTGATTTAATTTAAAAATATTTGAATCAAGCTGGAAATTATGAGATTTAGGTAGTTAAAAAAATATAATTTCATATTTAAATCAAAGTAATGGGTGGAAAAAATAGCGACAAATATTTAAATGAAATATGAAACCATTGGAAAAAAAAAAGAATTTAATATTCAAATTATAGTTTAAAATATTAAAATTTCCTATAATTTTTATTTGTAAAAGAAAAATGAAAAATATATAAATTTAAAATGAAATCTTTGGCAAACCCCTTTCTTTATAGTTAAATCCAAGTTTTAAATAGTGAAATTAATATTACAAATGAATAAAAAATATTTAAATTTAATAAATTTAAATTAAATACGAAATCTTTAAATTTACTACGTTTTTTCTTCAGTGTCAGCTATTACTTACAGAGCTTGTCCAACAGCGTGGCGCCCTCCTCCAGGCTCATCTCCTGCAGCTTCTTGAGGCTGACCTGCTTAAGGGCGGGCAGATCCTCGATTTCCCGGGGGCTCACCCAGTTGCTGGGCTGCTCCACGTTGTCCAGGGAGTTGGAGCGGCGACCGGAGGACCGGCTGCCCGACTGGGGGCTTCCGACGGCCACGGCCAAAAGGCAGGCAAGAACGCAAAGGCTGCGCAGGGGATTCATCGTGTGTTTCGAGTTCGACTGTTTCAGACACCGTACCAAGTTGTACTGCATACCTAGTTCCCCGATCTAAGGGGTTTATATAGCACTAGTCCGTATATAGAAAGTGTATATATGCTGAGTTTAAATTACACGCGCCGGAAGCAATCGATTCCAGCCATTGATTTCTGGATCAGCACAAGCGTTTGTTTCGCCGCGTCAGGGATTTAGCAACACTTCTGATGAGCTCTTTAATATTTCACTGCGAGAGTCTCGTTTGCACTCGTATTATTATTATTGGGAAACTTCTTTATCCAGCTTGCTTGCGTAACCAAAACATAAACAAAAAAAGGGGGCTGGACGGGGGGCACGACTTGAACTCATGTTGGGGGGTCAAGCTTTGGCTTTTGTTTATGAAAAACACTTTGCTTTGGCTTTTGTTTATAAAAAACACTTTTAGGCCGTTTATTACATTTATATGAACAGAATTTTATTTATTTCAGATGGCTGAATTTTTCCCAAATTAAGGTTTTTAACAGTTATTTAAAACTGTTTGCGATCATTTTTTATTTAATTGAAATGTTTTACAAGATGACTTGACAAAATTAATGTTATTAATGACAAGCTTAAAAGATTATAAGCCAGTTTATATTTATTTAATTACTGACTTTTTTGTATAATATCTATTATTTTATATGTGTGTTTAATAAATTTTAATATCTTTAACTAGTTGTCTAGGGATTTGCATAATATCTAGCTTTCTTTTAATATACAGTGATCCATTTTTATTTACAATAATTATTTATTTATTTAAGATTTATGAAAAAATGTATTATTTAATTACCCAAACGCTTTATTGGCATTTTAATTTAATAAACGCTGAAATTGTAGTGGCCTGATAAAAGAGAAAAGGGTAAGCAAAATAACAACAATTTCCACATAATAAAAAATAAACAAATTTCGGAAAGGGTTCAATGGGAAATTAATTCAAAGAGAAATAAAATAAAAAAGTAAGTAATTTAATTAATAAATAAAGAAAAATCTGGCATTCCAATTATATTCTTTAAAGAAAAAGAGAGGTTAAGGAAAAAGGTTAATCACTCACACAATAAACTACTCGTGCTTCTGTAATATATTTCTAAAGTCCATAATGAAATGTTTAACTATATGCATTATTGTATATTTAAATTGGCCTGGAAACCAAACACATTCCATTCGTATCAGCGGCAAAAATCTGGAATCAATGAACTGCGTTTGGCCTTGAAATGAAAATGGAAAATTAGAGTGCATAAATTAGGCAAAATGAAAGTGAAAAACAAAGGTATTAATTGAAACTATTAATAAATATGGATAACGGTTGGAAAATATAAGATTTATGTTGATATTATAACGATATTTAGGGCATTTTTAACTAAATCCGGGGGAAGACTACAAAGTTGCAATCACAAAGTGATTACAAATTAAAATAATCAGGCGGCAGCAGGTGCTGCCAAGTCATCAGCGGGGTCAGCTACTACTTACTTTGTATACACAAAGTGCACTTTATTCAGCTACCCATGGTAGCTCATATATGCTCATCCGATTTGATTCCCAGGCCCCAGAACTCAGAAATCAGAGCCCAGAAAAACCCTTACTCAGCAGAGCCAACCGACGATTAGGCCTGACCCAGCGGAAATAGAGAAAGAGCGTCGGAAAATCGGAAAATTCTCGCTACGAGGGGGTATATAAGCCGCCATTGGGGCAGCGGTGAATTCAGTTCAACTCGCTCAGTGTTGAAGTCGCCTCCTTGAAGTCGATCCCGAATCCGATTCCGAACCATGAACCCCATGAGAGTGCTGAGCCTTCTGGCTTGCCTGGCGGTCGCCGTTATGGGCAAGCCCAACGGTCGCATGGACAACTCCGTCAACCAGGCCCTGAAGCCCTCCCAGTGGCTCTCCGGATCCCAACTGGAGGCCATCCCAGCCGTCGACGATCTCACCATTGAGCGTCTGGAGAACATGAACCTGGAGCGTGGCGCCGAGCTGCTGCAGCAAGTTTGTGAGTGCTAACTAAATTTTGGGGGGAAAAAAATTATTTTTAGTTTTCTAAAGTTTTTTAGACCTTCCAAGGTTTTTTGAAAAAATACTAGAAAAATAGGAGACTTGAAAAATTTAGCTAAAATTGGATTATTTTAAATTAAACTTAAAAACAAGGAATGATTTTTGGTTTTTTAAAATGTTCCAGACTTTCTAAGCTTCTTTTGAAAAAAATATCAGAAATACTACAAATATATATAATATTAAATATTCTTTAAATTTTCATTATAGAAATTTACTAAAAAAATATTATTTTAAATTACATTTAACAAGTTCTTAGAAAATCCTAATTTTACTTACCAGAAATGCAGATAATTAAAAAAGAATATTTCTATAAAAAATACAAAAAATACCACATCTTAAAAAAACTATTGAACATTTAAGAGGCATTTAAGCCTTTTTTAAAATACCAAAAATATAAAAATATATAATTTAAAAATTAGAGAATTTGAAAATTAAATTAAATTATTTCTTTAATCCTTTTTCAGACCACCTGTCGCAGATCCACCACAACGTGGAGCCCAGCTACGTGCCCAGCGGCATCCAGGCGTACGTGCCCAAGCCCAACGGCGAGAAGACCGCCGTGCCCCTGAACGAGATGATCCAGCGTCTGAAGCAGAAGCAGAACTTCGGCGACGACGAGGTGACCATCATTGTGACCGGACTGCCCCAGACGACGGAGACGGTGAAGAAGGCGACCCGCAAGCTGGTGCAGGCCTACATGCAGCGCTACAACCAGCAGCAGCAGCGCCAGCAGGGCAGGAACGGCAACCAGGACTACCAGGATCAGAGCCAGAAGACCAGCAGCGAGGAGAATTCCAGCGAGGAGGTGAAGAACGCCAGGACCCAGAGCGGTGACATCATCGTGATCGATTTGGGCTCCAAGCTGAACAACTACCAGCGCTACGCGATGCTCGACATTGAGAAGACCGGTGCCAAGTTGGGCAAGTGGATTGTCCAGATGGTCAATGAGCTGGATATGCCCCACGACACCATCCATTTGATTGGCCAGAATGTGGGTGCCCATGTCGCCGGCGCCGCTGCCCAGGAATTCACCCGTCTCACCGGCCACAAGCTGCGTCGCGTCACCGGTCTGGATCCCTCGAAGATCGTGGCCAAGAGCCAGAACACCCTGACCGGCCTGGCCCGCGGCGATGCCGAGTTCGTCGATGCCATCCACACCTCCGTCTACGGCATGGGCACGCCCATCCGTTCCGGCGACGTTGACTTCTATCCCAATGGACCCGCCGCCGGAGTTCCCGGTGCCAGCAATGTGGTGGAGGCCGCCATGCGCGCCACCCGCTACTTCGCCGAGTCAGTGCGTCCTGGTAACGAGAGGAGCTTCCCCGCCGTGCCGGCCAACTCCCTGCAGCAGTACAAGCAGAACGATGGCTTCGGCAAGCGCGCCTACATGGGCATCGATACCGCCCACGATCTGGAGGGCGACTACATCCTGCAGGTCAACCCCAAGAGCCCCTTCGGCCGCAACGCTCCCGCCCAGAAGCAGAGCAGCTACCACGGCGTCCACCAGGCGTGGAACACCAACCAGGACAACAAGGACTACCAGTAGGGAACTTCTCGTATCTGGTATCTGGAGAATGACAACAACAACTTACAACCCACTGGCCACCCAACCACACACACTGTAGTCCCTAAGTTGAACCCAAATTGGCCCTTTCGAGAGATTACTACTCAACCATGTAACGAGCACATCGCTAAATTCAGCAAATAAACGCTTGATAAAGAGCTTAAAAATAACATTTGAATTTCTAACTATTTCTTTAAAATTAAGAATTAGTTTTGACTAGCTTTTAAATAATATCCCCTAAAAAATATTACTAGAATATTTTGTAATTTCCACATCTCCTACATCTTTTTAGATTTCGTAAAAGTGTTAGTGCCATTTGATTGCGTTTATTAATTCCTCTCGAAATGTAGAAGAACATTTTAAAATCGGACCATCCATTAAAAAGTTATGAGCAAAGAAAAAGTAACGAAATGCAAGCAGTCGATTTACAGCTTGCAAAACTTCATCTCCCTCGCACTTCCTTTAGTTTAATTAACCAAAAATCATCTTTAAAATCTAATCAAAAGATACAAATCGGCAATTGGTTTTGTAAACTTAGATTTATTTTATTGTAATCTGTGTTTTTGTGGTGTCGCGGTCTAAGCTTCTCCTTAGAAGCTGGCTTAGCCTTGGGTTGGAAAATAATTTCTTTAGAGTGATTAGGGATTAGGGAGCAATTTCGCTGACGGGAGGCTGGCGCAATAACAATGAACCTCAACCTGAAGCAATAACAATTAGAAGTACAGCCAAGAGTTTAGGATCGGGGCTCAGGCTTAGGCTTAGGCGACTTTAGTTTTATTTATTTCGTGTTTTTTTTCTGTATTTTTTTTTGGTTTTCTGGTTTAGTTAAGTGCACATTCCGAATTGTTAGAAATATTATTTCTATATACTTGTTTGTAGCTCTAGCAGATCGATGCAAAAAATGGTTAGAACCAAAACCAAAAACTGGTATAAGCGCAGGCCAAAGTGTCTTAAAGATTAGCTACAGTCTTTCTTAAGAGATACCCACTCGCTATCTTTATGTACATCCCTCACATGTGTGCGTACATTCCCCACTCCCTATATATTTAGATATATATATTTTTTTAGCATCGGTATATACACAATATTCGCTTGTTTAAAATTAGTTTTGATTTATCTTTTATAACAATTTCATTGTTTCGATTTTGTTTTTCGTTTTTGGTTTTCTGTGAGTGGAAGCAGTTTTTCTTTATTTACTTTTGAATATCTCTGGTTGCCCAGCTACTTTAGCTACGTTCATAAATATTCCTATATCATATCATATATCGTATTCAATTTAATTAGCTTTGAGGCCGAACTAAAGCACATGGCACATTTTGCCGTTTATTTAAAATGTTTATCAAACGTTTTTAATCGGTTTTTAATATATATACTCATACATCTGTATAAAGATCGTTTGGTGCGCTCTACAGTGCAAAATATTTGCTCAATTATAAAATTGTTTCACAGTTTGTTGAATCTTTTCAAACAGAATGGAAATCAAGAACGATATAGTCGGGTACCTGGACTATTGGAGATCTTTTACAATCGGCTATAGGTTTAGTTTAATTTTGATTATGAATAGAAAAACATGAGTTATTAATTTAATTTAACAGACAATCGGACAATTTCTAAGACAACTTATTATTTTTAACACATGGCAATAGATCTCTTTTGGGAGTTTGTTCTGTTTTAAGGATCTAAGGATCGTCTAATCCAGTTGCTGCAACTCAGTTAGCGTGTTTAACTAGGCAAAATTCAATATATATATATATGGGCTTTCATCTACGAGCTTCAGCAAATTCATGATGGTTAATAACTTCGTGTGTGTTTCGTGTGCTCTATGGTAAATCCTTACAATGTCCGTTCAATTGAATTTGTATCACAGCAATATATTTGTTTTGGTTTATATTTATAATACGTGTGTGTATATACTACTATATAATATATAGAGTTGTGTGTGATTCGCGGGGAGAAGCAAAAACAATGAGCAATAAATAGATTACTATATCATTTGTTTAAGCTTGGCCAGGAGAAACCGAAATGAAAACGAGGCTTCCCAACGATAAGCTCTATGGATCCTAACTATCCCGATCCGAATCCGAATCTTAACCGTGCAACAACCTTGGTGACCAGTGTTTGTACTCAGATGCGTCTCAAATGCGCTTGATGGTGGGTCCGGTGAAGAAGACGGAAACTTTGCGCTTGAACCGCTCCATGGTGGGCTCGTGCTCCTCCTCGTAGTCGTCGTCGTCGTCCTCGTCCTGCCGCCGGTGGTGGTGATACTGGTGGTGCTGCAGGTGGTGGTGGTGCTGCTGCTGCTGGTGGTGCGGCGGTGGCAGGTGGAGGCGCGGCGGCGGAGGCGTCCGATGGTGCTGGCCAAAGATGATGGTGCGCGGAAAGGGCATGGCCACATCTTCATCGTCGTCGTCATCCTGCCCCTCCTCCCCGCCATTCGGATCACCCGCCTGACCCTGACCTTGAGCATCCGACTCGCTGAAACCGGGATTAAGTATTATGTTCGGTATAAGCTCAATGCTGTCCCAACCATCTTGCAGTTCTTCAGGCCAAAATAGGAGAGAAAAATAAATTAGAAATTATATTCCATATATTATATTTTATTCAAAAGATAGGGGAGGAGAAAGAGAGAACGAGAGAGGAAGAGAGGAAGAGAGGAAGAGAGAGAGAAGAAAAACACATTTATTAGGCATTTTTGAGATAATTGTTCCGTACGTTACCTTTGGTTTTTTTTTCTAAGGACTTTAATTGATTGTGTTGGCATGTGTGAGTGTTTTTGGGGTGTTTTTCTGAGTGTACGTGTGCAACAGTTTAACACAAATATTTACAGGCGGCGCTTCAGCCAAGTGACACTCAAAAGAAAGCGGCACTTTAGCCCCCAAGCGTCACACAGGGCGTATGCGTAATGCAAGCAACAACTTTGTCTCGCTAAATAAATGTGAGTACAGCGGTGGCCAAAACAATAGGTATTTTGAATTTTCATATTTTTATATATATATAATTTCTCAATTAAGATTAAAATATTAATAAAAATATTTATAAGGGTACAGACAAATAAAATGTAATAACGAAAAAATTCCCATTTTAATAATTACAAATTCTACAAAAAAATTAAAATGTATTTTCCACAGGTTTAAAATACTCCTATTATTTTGAGCACCGCTGCTATGCGTGTAAGTTTTTATTTTCAATCTTGTGTGTCTTTCTGTGTGTTTAGTGTGCATTTTCTATTGAAATCCAAGCTCAAGTGTTCTCAAAACAAAACTAAATCGGAACTCAACGGAATATTTCATACAATCCACTCTTTTTTGGTTTTTCAAAACATTTAATTTCGTGCTCATATGGGTTTTATCTCGTTGCAAATGCAAATAACACACAATAATATTCGGTAAAGTACATACATACACGGTTACAACATTAATAAAGCATTTTCTCATTTTGGTCTAGGCATTTTACAATATTTATTTAGCAATATCATTTGGTTTATTTGTTGCAGCTAAAGCTTAAAATTGGTTGAGACCTCTAGACGGTTTTTGCTTTGATATCGTTTCCATTGATTGATTGGATTTTTTTGGCTACAAGTGCAGGCTATCACAGTTTAAGTGCTTAAAGCTTTTTTTTGGTCTAGGACTGGTTTGGTTTTTTCTTTAGGTTTTTGTAGTATTAAAGCGGAAATTACACTTTTCTTTACTTAAAGCTAAAAACTACTTAGGGATTTTTCGGTTGAATAAATGCGGAAAGGAAGGGCTATCCTGCGGCTCTAAATAATTGTTTGATTAAAATGAGAAACTGAAATGGCAGATTTAATGTAATCAACATACATATTTTGCTTAATTAAAGCTGCCTTTTTCTACTTGTTTAAAATATTATTATGATTATTTGACCTACTTGATGTCTACAATAGTATTTGCAAAATTGTATTTCTAAAAAAAGACCTTAATTATTTTATTATTATTATCAATATTTGATGAATGGATAACTATCAAAAAATGAGACTAATTAGTATTTTCCTAAACCAATGATTCGCCTGCTGAGCTTTTCGTTGCAAATACATTTCTCTTTGCATTTCGTGTGTAAAATTATATTTACAGGTCACAGGAGCCGCACTTAGGCTATGTACACATTTATGGTAATTATTATAGGGGGACTTAAATATGTATATATATATAATGTATATTTATATTCATATATAAACAACATCCAACGGCAAAGCAAACAATTCGCGTCCGGCGCTGGCAAAAATAAAATCTAAATGCGGTTAAGTAACACAATATTCGATATTATTAATTATTAACAACAATAGCAGCGGCAACAACAACAGCAATGTGGCAATAACGACAACAACAACAACGACACCAATCAACATCAATATATATAAAGCCATAACAAAACCGAAGAATGCAGGTTAAAAATAATGAGTAACCGAAAAAGAAAAGCCAAATGGAAAATGAAAAACATTTAAAAAACACGCGAAAAATATTTAAAATAAAAAACGGGTGAGAATTGTTGCTGAATATCTCAGGGATTGTTTGCTGTTTTTGGTTTTTCTTTTCATAACTTGGGATATTCTGGAGTTTTTTTTTTTTTGGAGTTGGAGTTTTGGAGTTGATCGACTTATTCTGTACCCATTTGCGCCGACTGATAGCACTCCTTGGAGAGCACAATGCAGAGTCCGATCGCTAATATCACAAGGGTTCCGAGCACTATGCTGACGGCCACTATCCAAATGCGTGGATCGAAATTGTCTAGGTCGGGTTTTATAAGGCGTATGAGATCTGGTTCGGGTGCGACAGAGACAGAGGCACACACACAGAGAGAGAGAGAGAGGGGAGAGAAAAATAGATAGATGGACAACGAAAATTACCAAAAATACAAATCGAAATATACTAAACAATGAGCTATACGTTTACACTTAGGTTTTTAGGTTAGTCGATAATGCTGGCTACCAATCAAGTTACTAAAGTCGTGACCGTGGCTAGAATTGCATTCAGTTTGGAGGATTTGTTAGATATTATTATCTCCGAATACCGGTTTTTATTTTAGATTTTTATTCAAGCCGTTTTGGCTGCAGGATTTTTTTTATTTCATATAAAACGTCATTTTATTCCATTTGCAATCCCATCCGATGGTCCTTAATATATAGATGTTGACACCAATTGGAAATTAGGAATGATAAACTACCGATTAGAATTACAGTTTACACATTTAAAGTAGAATACCAAAGTTGTACGAAAATAGTAGTCATATTCAACATAATCTAGACCTGACCTAACCTAGCCTAGTAGAGCCTAAGATTCGCTAGGATATGAATAGATGGTTCTAGGAGTACTCACCCTCCTCCTTGGTCTCCGGCAGCGTGGTCACATTGGTGGTGACCACCTCGCCGCTGCCCAGCTCGTTGTTGGCCCATATCCGAAACTCATAGGTGGTGTTGGGGGCCAGCCGATAGACTTCCATTTGGCGCTACAAGAATATAATTTAATTAAAAAGTTAAGGACAATTAAATAATCATAAATCATAAAAAGAAAGTTAAATGGATAACTAGGTCAGAAAAAAATTACATTTTTTGTTTTTAGTAAACATTGCAATTTTTTCTATTTGTTTTTTTGCTGTAACTTGGCCAAAAATGGTCCTACACCAAAAATACATACTGTTTTGAACAGATAACAAAATAACAAATAAATCCATGACACTTTCCGGGTGAAATCGAAAAAATCAAATTTTGGTCAAATTTAAATTTTTTTGTAAGGGGGTACCTCATGATTTTTTACGAAAAATGGCAAAAAAATAAAATATCCAGGTTTTATAGCCATTAAAATTGAAATTTAACAACGAGTTCAGAACGGTATGACAATCCATATTTGGACCATTATTTCCATTGTTACGGTCAAAAAACGAATTATTTTTTTGTGAAAAATTGGAATCTTATTTTTTGGCAAAAATTTGAATTTTTTCTGTTGGTTTTTTTGCTGTAACTTGGCCAAAAATGGTCCTACACCAAAAATACATACTGCTTTGAACAGATAACAAAATAATAAATAAATCCATTACACTTTCCGGGTGATATCGAAAAAATAAAATTTTGGTCAAATTTAAATATTTTTGTAAGGGGGTACCTCATGATTTTTTACGAAAAATGGCAAAAAAATAAAATATCCAGGTTTTATAGCCATTAAAATTGAAATTTAACAACGAGTTCAGAACGGTATGACAATCCATATTTGGACCATTATTTCCATTGTTACGGTCAAAAAACGAATTTTTTTTGTGAAAAATTGGGATCTGATTTTTTGGCCAAAATTTGAGTTTTTTCTGTTGGTTTTTTTGCTGTAACTTGGCCAAAAATGGTCCTACACCAAAAATACATACTGTTTTGGACAGATAACAAAATAACAAATAAATCCATGACACTTTCCGGGTGATATCGAAAAAATCAAAATTTGGTCAAATTTAAATTTTTTTGTAAGGGGGTACCTCATGATTTTTTATGAAAAATGGCAAAAAAATAAAAAGTCCAGGTTTAATAGCCATCGAAATTGAAATTTAATAACGAGTTCAGAAAAGTATGACAATCCATATTCGGACCATTATTTCCATTGCTACGGTCAAAAATACTATACAAAATCGTGAAATACTCACCACATTGAAGGCTATGTTGATTGGATCCATCCTGCTCCAGGCGTGCTCGAAACTGGCATTCGCCGGCGGGGTTTTGTAGGAGACATTCCGGAACTCGGCCGTAAAGCTGCGCACCGGATAGCCCCCGGATTGGGTCTTGTTGAAGCGCCAGATGAGGAAGCCCAGTATGGTGGAGGCCTTGAAGTAGAGCTGCGAAACTGGGCCCGGAACGGTGCGAACGATGAGCCTGGTTCGCTGCTGGGCCTGGTACTCCAGTTCCTCCTCCACTTGGGGTTCCTCATCGATACCATCCTCATTTTTATCCACCACTGGCTGCGTTTCTTTCTCCTGCTGATTTTGCGGTGAGGTAGTTGCTGATGTTGCGGGTTTGCTTGTCGTTGTTGCTGCTGCTGCTGCACTTGTTGTTGTCGATGGGCGTGGCACTGAGGCGAAGCACACGTAAATTCCCGCATCCGTAGTGCTCACATTGCGCAGCACCAAAACACGACCAGTCTTTAGGAATATGGTATTTATCTCTGGAATGCTCTTTGCTAAGGATTCACTAAAAACTCACCTGGATTATCGTGCTGTTGTTGCCGTGCTCCTTCACCCACATAATATTGCCCTGGGCTATGCAGGGTATGCTCACATTGCCGCCCTTGTCCGTCGCGTATTCGTTGTACTTGATCGTCGAGCTGAGTACCGTGAGCACTGCAAAAGTAATAAATCGGGGTCACCAAATGAATATAAAGCAAAAAACAAATAAACAATTTAAATGCAGCTTGAATGCTGAAAATTATAAACTCTTAGAGATATGACTTATTAAAATCGGAATCCGATTGCTGAAGTTATGCGGTCTAGAAGTCTAGTTTTGGGTCACCTTTCTTCTAGTGCATAGAATTTTAATTTCATTCGATTCGTCAATTTATGAAGCCAGCAGGCGAGAAGAACTGTGTTAAATTTAAACTATCGGGGTCACCAAGAAGTCTAGAAGTCTTGTTTGGGGTCACCATTCTTCAAGTTGATAGAATTTATATTTCATTTCATTCGTCAATTTATGAAGCTAGCAGGCGAGAAAAACTGTGTTAAAGTTGAAGACTAGTTTTGGGTCACCTTTCTTCAAGTGCATAGAATTTCAATTTCCTTCGATTCATCAATTTATTTAATTTTTATTGAACAATCGGGGTCACCTTTTGATAAACTTAACCCTATTATACGACCGACGATAGGATCGCCCCAGCACCGCCTCTTTGATTAATTGAAAGATATCTGGCTTGTAATAACCTCGTGTGTAGAAAGAACCTCGGAATCCCCCAGTTGTTAGCCCAATGTCGCTGTGGTTGGAACGCACTTTAACCGGTTACCTGCAGCTTTTTGGCCTGGTTTGCGGCTGGAGCGCCAGTCGCTTGGGCCGCCTCTTGGGCAGTACATTCCTGGTCCTAATACTAATCGAACTGGCCACCGAAATCGGTTGGTACTTTCGTGGTACACTGCCTTTCGAACATTTGTCCTCGTACTTCTGGAAGACCATCCAGGGCGTCAATGTGACCTACAAAATGGTACACACATGGATTGTCCTCACGGCCCTCTTCCAGTGTCAGCGGGTTCGACGTCTGCGGGAGCAACTGCCGCTGGTCAGGGCCACCACCTTTATGTACCGCCATCTAATCCTGGAGGCATTACTGGTCATCTGCAATCTAGTGCTGCTCTATATGGAGGACTGGGACCAGGAGAGCATGCGATATGCCTTTAGCCTTCAGGCCGTGCGGGCTCGCTACTTGGAAATGATGCTGCTGGTGGATCGGTTGGATGGCCAGCTGGAGCAACTGCATCGGCGAGTGATCGACGGGTCGTCGGACTACAAGACGCTGCGATCGGAATATGCCCATCTGGCGAAATTATCGCGTTCGTTGTCGCATCTCTTCGGGCTCTCGTTGCTCCTGCTGAACGTCCTTTGCCTGGGCGACTGGATAATCGTGTGCAATGTGTACTTTATGGTCCAATATCTGAAGGCATTGCCTGCCACCTGGTTCATCTTGGGCCAGACCATGTACGTTGTGATGCCTTCGCTCATCAAGATCTGGACCATGTGCGCCGCCTGCCATCGCTGTGTGGCCAAGGTGAGGGATTTTTTGAATTATATAATACATTAAATTAAATTTTAAGGTGTCTAAGACCCGCATTTACTAACTACCTTTAATATCGGTTTGTTTCCTTCTCTTAAAATCGTGCCGGATTTGAACATACACCTTTTTCGGACTAAAAATATTTTGTTGCATACTTTTGGACACCTTTATAAATGATTTTGGTTTTCATCGCAAATATACATTTTTTTTTAATTTTTTTTAATATTCCTTGCAGTCCAAACACTTGCAGGAGCAACTGAAGGATCGTCCGGGTCAGACACTCTCAGAAAGAAGTCAAATCGAGGGGTTTGCCCTGCAAATCATGCAGGATCCCATACAATTCGATGTCTGCGGGATCTATCACCTCAACCTGCAGACTTTGGCGGGGGTAAGAAATCATATTTACAGATTTTAGATAGATATTACCCATATTATATTTCCCCTTAGATGTTCTTCTTCATTCTGGAGGCCCTCGTTATATTCCTGCAGTTCGTATCGCTCGTAAGGCCGTAGGCCATACGAATAATAAATCATTGGGGCCGGGGGTGATATATCGGGGTCAGAGGTCAGCGCGGTGGGAACATGCAACATGATTTGCTTGCCGAATGGAAAACAAAAAAAAAAAGCAAAGAAGCAAACAGAAAAAAGAGCTCCTCAATTTAACAACGTTGTTGGATTTCTGCATGCAGAAAATTCTGAAAATGTTGCTGCGACACGCGAAGGTCATACACACACTGCTTACATATTTATGACGCTGCCTGTTTCCGCTTCTTCCTCTTCTTCTTATTCACGTTCGACAGGAAAAACAATAAAAAAGCAAGAGCAACAACAACAATAAACACCAAAGGCAACGTCATTCCTCATATTTTATTTCTGGCTTTCAAAAGTCACCTAGAAACGCGGCTAAAAGGAGGGGCTAAGAATGGCATTCCAATATTGAAGAGGTATTCATAAAAGGTTTGACTATGAATATCGATTTGGATATTTTAAAAGTAAGAACTTACAGCAATTAAGTTTTAAGTATTTTAAAAATATTTTAAAGAAATAAAAGAAAGAATCAACTTCCCAAATTATATTTCTCTCTTCAGATTTCCTTGAGTGGCTCACTTAACATGGATTAAACTTTTATGGCTGTAATATTTCGTCTGTTGCCTGTATGCCTGAAAATCTGAAAAGTTTCCCGCTACACGACGAACTTAATAAGATTGCTTTTTTAAAGTTGCCCATTTCTTTCGGGGTAATCCCGACCACAAGGCAAACAAACATCATCGCCAAAAACACACACACAGAATGTACGAGAAACCAAATAACAGAAAAGAAACAATTTTAAGGTTCAGCCTTGTCCAAGTTTGGGGGCAGATGTAAGTCAGTCAGTCATCCATAATGTTGATAAAGTTTCGCACAAGCCAAAAATGGCCATAATAAGTTTGCACCGCCCGCCAGGAAACTACAGGAAGTGGGGGATGGGGATAAGGGGTTTCTGAAAAACAAAAGTTACCCCATGTGGGGTTATGTAAGGCGCAAGCTGCTTGCCGAAAAGTATGCACCACCCCCTGGAAAGTCCACCCACAGCACCATCATCCCTTGCTGACGTCAGTTAATTGATTTCAACACGAATCCAATGGAGACGCCTAAATTTACACGCGAAGAAAAAATATTCTGGAGAAGCTTTTAATAATAATAAAAAAATATATCTAAATTAAATAAAGAAACCTACAAATTTTATATAAACCATATTTAAAATTAAAGTAAATGTCCGCAAACCCGCATTTACACACTACCTTCGTTTCCCACTCTTCAAATTCTTCAACACTTGGACATCTACCTTTTTCTAGATTTCAGTGCAAGGTCACTCAATCAGACTGTCGTTCAATCATTCACTTTTGTCAATGGGCCAACCATCAATTGTCGAGCGATTTAATTAGGTCGCCCCAGGGCTTTTTGGCCGTGACGCGTTTTGGCCAGCTGCCTATTTTTAGACGCTGTTTGCATTGATTTTGCCATAAACACGGGCCACCCAAGCGAAGACCACTGAAACCGCAATGGGAAAAGCCGAAGCAAAAGCCACCCGGCGATAAACGTAACCCAATCCGCCAATCCACCGAACCGCCGCCTATCAAGAAACAAAATCCTAGAGACAATGGCAAAACAAGCAGGGGAATCCGAAAACCGGGCAAATAAATCCGGAGACAGTCGGGCGGGCGACACCTTTTGTTTATTAACCGGATGCGGAACCCCTAGTTACCAACTATTTACCCCGACGACTGATTGGCCGGAGTGCGGAGGAATTTCCCCGCGGAAAGGCGGAAAATGGGGTGTTATAAAGCAAAGGCAAAAGCAGAAGGCAAAAAGCAACAGAAAGTGCAACTGAAATGTAATAAAATAAAAATGTTTGCCAATTGGTTTAACAACACGGTGAGAAGTGAAGGACTTGTGATGGTTTTTCCCCGCCCCTTTTCGCTTTCCTTTCCTTTTTCCCTAGGTTTTTTTCCTCACTTTTCCGCTTTCCCCTATTTATTTTTATTCCCACGATGGCCACCCCGAAAGCAACCGCAACACCACTTCAGCACGCTTTTCATGGAACTGCGCTTTTCTGTAATTAATTATTTAAGCACTCGGCTCGATTTGAGCCAAACTAGGGAGACGTACGTCCAAGTACAGTGAGGGGTCCTTAAGACGAATTTTTCATTAGGTCTTTGCTTGTAATTTTAATCTGCTTCTTGAGTTAATTAAAAATATAATCAGATAACCATTACTTGTGTTTTAAAAAAAAGTAAATATCATTTAGATTGCGAAAAAAGAACCTTCTTGAAATGGAGAAAAGTTTGTTTTTATGGCCAAAAGTTTTTTGCAATTTCTCCTTTTTTTCCATTAGGTTTATGTTTGTAATTTCAACTTATTTCTTGAGTTAATTACATGTTGCAATTAATTAATTAAAATAAAATTTAATATCATTTAATTAGTAATGTTTTTTTTATTATTTAAAAGTTTAAAGAACTGTTTTATAATAAATAATCCAAAACTTTAAAACAACATTAGGGATTTGGAACAGAAGAACCCTTCTGAAAGGGAGAAAAGTTTGTTTTTATAACCTAAGTTTGTGGAATTTGTCCCGTTTTTTTTTGCTCCCCCAGTTTGCAGCACGTTCCCTGTTTGCCTGCTGCGGCCATTTTGCATAATTTGCGGTCCCGTCTATATCCCTTATCCTCCCTGCACGTGCTATATCCTCGGATATGCCCCTCCGTTTGGCGATTGAAGCAACAAGCGGCGAAATAAAGTTCTGCTGATGGCACCCAGCTGGCAGATCGAAGCTGAATGGCCAGGAAAGGATGGAAAAAGAGTTCAAGGGGCAAACTTTTCAAGCACCCGCTTGAGTATCTCAGCTGAAGTCGGGGTCCCCCCTCTTGAAATGTATCCTCGTCGACCAGGTTTCTGATTTTAAATTGAAAATAAAAATGCTCGCCTTTAAAGGCAGAATCATTGAGGCAGACATCAAACGCAGGAAATTATTCCTTTTTAACCGGATTTCATTTATTTGCACATCAAATTTTCTACCTCAATTAACAGGGCATTTTAAAAGGTATTTAAATATTTACATTTGTACCTTTTTCATGGCCGATTTAATTGCATAAATATACGAATACCTTTCACATTAATTTGCATATAGATTTAAATGTTAAACTACTTTAAATAAATAATAGTACACTCATCATTCCTAATAAAAATAAAATAATAATACAAAATAAAAATACTTAATAAATACTCATTCAAAGTGAGGTCTAAGCCATAAATTTCAATTAGTTTATCCCTAAATTGAAACCCCAAATGTTTGCCAAAATTCAACATATATTGTTTCAGTTAGTCGCTGTTAATTTAATTGCTGGGTCACTAATTCGGTTTGCATAATCAAATGGCATTAATATTGCCCATATATCCATGTGGATATTGTCCAGTGAATAATTTAATTGCGGAACTAGTAAACAAAAGTGCGTGACTCTTGAATAATGGAATGCGATGCCATTGCGATTGATTTCACTTCGGTTAATGAAGAGCAGATCCCGCAATCCTGTCCTGGAAAATGCCATCGTGGGAATCCTGGGAACCCTGACAACTTGGCTCTGTCGGTTTTGAGTGGAATTGAGTGTTGCAATATTTATGACTCCCACGGCGGGTGTCGATTGCATTCCGTGTCACCGGCAAACGCCCAAAAACCCTCTTCAAGACCCCTCAACACATGGGCCAAAACAAACAACAACACGGTGTATGGGAATACATTTGGATGCACTGAGAATAAATATCACCAAAAACTAAAGCAAAACAAATAAAATTAAAATTTGAAAGAGAGCACACAAATAAAATATCTAGAAATAGCCAACTTTCGATATTCTTTCAAGCTCTATTATTAAGGGTACTTTAAAAATCATTTTAAACTAACAAAGGAGAATTTAAATAATTAAACTGTGGTTTGCAATATAACATTTATTTTTGTATTTAATTTTATTTTTTTTTTTTCATTTGTTTTTTAATCTAAATTTCCTACAATTTATAATTTATAAACCATCTGAAACGTTTTATAAAATAACTCCCATTGCCAAATGGCCATAAACTATTTAATGAAATCATTTAAATACTCGTATAAGTACGGAATTCCAGTTTGTTTTTCGACGTTAGTGTTTTTAAGTAGCTTATAATGGCCATATATCTTGCTCCCGGTGTATTTATACGACAACCCTGACATTTTTATGGAGCTAAATAATGCATTTGGCTTAGAGCGACCACAGAATGTCCATCGATTCCCCAGAACCGACAACCAATGTGTGTGGGGGAGAAAAAAGGGTAAAGGAGAAATGGACAAAATGCAGTTTAAGCCACAAGACCATTAAATTGGAATTTCATAAAGCTTTCAGGCATAAGTGTGCACAACAGGGGTTAAGCACGGCGGCTCGGGGGTTAAGATGGGGGCACAAATGCCAGATGCAGCTGTTGCCCTCAAAAGCAGACTATGCGATTATTCTGCTGGCACAACAAAATAATAATAAAATATATATGGCCCAAAGAAAATGAAAGCGAATAAAAGGGGGGAATGTTCTAGGCAAATACAAAATCAATAATAGGAAATTTATTTAAAGGAAAATTAATTATGTGGGGTTCGAAATCAATTATAAAGGTGCCCAAAAGTATGCTTCAAAATAAGGAAAGTCTTTTTTGCAATTTAATTATGAGGGGATTGAAATCAATTAGAAAGGTGCCTAAAGTAAATGGAGCGTCTGCTTTTTCAATTAATCTATAGGATTTGCAGTTTCGAAAAAATTCAAAGACTGTTTTTATTATAAAAATTCAAAACTATGAATTGATCCAATAGTTTTCTGCTATAAAACTATGGTTGCTAAAATTCTATGCCGCAAACCACCGAACCGAAAGGCATTTCCAAAGTCTTTACTTTCCACTGAATGCCTTCAAAGTGCATTCAAAAATAAAAACATTTCCCTGGTGCACGTGGCATTCTTCAACGGTCAAAGTGAAATGCAATCTCCCATGGCCAAAATGCCACGAATGCGGCCCAATCAAATGACAGAAACAACTGAAAGGCAGACACTTGACTGCGGGCCAGGGAGAAAGGACCCAAACCCAACCGAAAACCGAACAAAAGAGTCATTCAATGTTCTTGTTTTCCCCCCCATTTTACTTTTATTTTTATATTTTCTTGACCAAAAAGGGGCGGCGGAAGGGGGTAAAAAGAATGCTAAAGACTTTCTCTGCAATTCCCCGACTCACTTTATTATTATTATTGCCCACGGGCAGAAATGCTGCACAGCAGCAGCAGCAGCCAACAAAATAAAATGCCAGAATTAATTAAAATTCATAATTAGTTGCATTTTGCATGCCAACGGGCCACGAGGTCACGACAAGAGCTAATCCAGCCTCTGGCTCAACTTGGGTTCTCCGCCCAGTGCACAGTGGTCGAAAAGCGGTTGGAAATGGAGTTTGGGGATCGGAAAATCCAACAAACTGCGTGAAATCTGTTTTTAAAGTGTAGAATTTAAGATGAAATAGTTTAAAAATGTAAAGCTATCTGAATATTATAGATATTAGATATTATTATAGATTTTATGATTTTTTAAATAATTTTAAGGCCCTGAAACAAATTTTTGTTTACCTTGTTTTACACCATTCAAATTCAACTCATTTAATCGTAGAAAACAAATACACTATTTATTAAATAACAATAAAATGCTATAAAAGTTATTAATTATATTTGAAATTAAATAAGCGAATAAAATTAAAATTACCGGTAATTCTCATAATAGGAAAATTTTAATTAATATTTATCCTCAAAATTTGTTGAACTTTATGACATAGTAATCCCCTTTTTCCAACGATTTCGAACCACTGTGACCATTCTACGGCAATTCTCATTTCGCACTTTATTTGCTTTGCAGGAGAAACCAGATGGCAGTTGAAGGGTGAAAGGGGGAGAAAGGATTAGTGAGGCACAGGACTTTCTCCTTAATGATGTGCCCGCCCATTGGCGACCCCGCCCACTTGTTGAACTAGCTGTCGTTGTTGTTGTTGTACTTCTGGTTCCATTCGGTTGGCATAATTGCAAAATGCATTTTTCCATTGGCAATCCGAAGGGCTTTATGTGTGGGAGAGCAATTAAAATCAGGAGCAAACGAAAATAATCAAATATTGCTGCCCCTCCTTTTGGCTTTTCGAATCGACTAGCCAAGCGGAAAATCAATGCAAATTCAAATTCACACACGCCCCAATAAAATAAGTAAACAAGTGTGGGTGCCCGGCATTGTTGTGTGCGTGTGTGACACTCGACCTTTTTTTTTTGGTTTTGGCATTGACTTTGAAAACCTGCCCCCAACAAACCGCAAGCATTGTCTTTTCATACCCTTTGCCAAAGGGAAGGGCTATTGAAATGGTTTAGAAAAATAACTAAATAATATTAAATATATATTTTTAAAATTTTTGGAATTTACTTAGGCCTTTTAAAATTAAAGGTGGTTTGAAATCACTTGTAACCGTGTCTAAAAGTATGCAATGAAATCTTTTAGGTCAACCTTTCCATTGGAATTTTGCCAAATGTTGAGATTCTGCTTGCACTGCATACTTTTAGACACCCTTAAAAAAGATTTCAAAAACTTCTCCACTTTCAGGCTCTCTAAAATGCATCCATGAATATTAAGTTATATTTTGTTCACAGATATTTCACATTTAGGGCATCCGAAACTCCGACGACGATGTCCCAAAGTCTAGACCCTTCTTCTAATTGCACCTTGTGGCAACTGGGTGGTGGCAAGTGTCTAAAAATAGTGCCACAGCCCTTGTTGCATGTGCTTTCATTTTCGTTTTGTCGGTGGTGTCGAAGTGCTGAAACCGCAGTGTTGGGTCAACAAAAGTGGGAATTCAATTTTGATTGGTGGGAAAATTCTTGGCGCCATGTCCTTGACTTCTACACTATCTAGTCTCTAATTTGCCAAAAAGTTTCTTTGCCAGCCACACTTTGTCCCTCAATTAGGTCCAGAAAAATCAATTTGTCCAAATGAACAGCTGCGGGGATTTTTTGGTCTTGGCAAACAGCACTTCTGTGTGCTGCCGCCTTTTTGTTTTAATTAAAAGCAAACTATTACCGAACTAAATGAGTTTGCCCAAGTCAACTGTTTTTCTATTTTCCTCCGAAGTATTTCTTTCTTTTTTTTTTTGATATGGAGGAAAATTCCTCGCTGAGGTTTCGCTGTTGCAGCAACAATTCAAGGATTTATACGCAATTTGCATGCAAATCAAGTCGGTCAGGCCGCTTTGGCGGCTCTTTAAATGGGCTGGGATTTATATGGGTTGCCCGGGGGGCAGGATTGTTGGATTGAGCCCGCGCTTAGGGCACTCTGACTGAGATTTATTATCTCGTGCGACTGTGGGTGGCGCAATCTGTACTCGGATTCATGGCACATCAACGGCGAATTAAACCACTGCGGAAATAACCCAAGCAAACCGACCGGAAAATGACCTGAACTGCATAAGGGAAGTTGCATAGAGATAAGGTATGCTAATATAATATAATATAAAATATACTACAAATATACTTTAAAGGTGTCTAGAAGTATGCTTCAAAAAATGTTTCACAGCATACTTTTAGGCGCATTTTTTAAAGATTTCAAAGTTCTTTTTTCTTTTTTACTTAAGATTCAAAATTTAATAGAATTACGCCAGAATAAAATGAATTTGGGATAAAGAATTTAATGACAAGAATAAAAACATTTTTGTAATGCACATTAAAATAAGCAAATGGATCTCCTAATTTACCCGAGCTACCAACTTTATGAGCACTTAATCTTAATTTCGCATATATTCCCACATAAACCAAAAAAGTCGACCGAAATTTATGACACCCCCCGGGTGACATCCCAACTGGACTCCAATTGGGTCAGCCGCCCTTCCAGCTGGACACGCATTAATCCCAATCGGGCAATCGGGACCCAAAAAATGGGGGAGTTATGTAAAGTGTCAAGTGTCAAGTGCGCTTACCTTGGGTGAAAAATAATAGATTAAACGATGACAACGTTAGCACGGAGCTGGAAGTGGACGACATGCTTCCATAGCACGCTTAAAGCACGCTTTACATAAGCTTCTGCTTTCTCTGCTCCTCCTCCTTCTCCTCCTAGCTTTATCGCCCCCTCCCTTTTGGCCAAAGCCGGCTGCAAAGCAATCAACAAAGGCGCAGGCACAGAGAGAAAATAATAAAAACAAAAAAGCAAACAGCGACGACGCGCCAAAAACCAAAAAAAAAAAACTGAAGAAAATAAAGAAAAGTTCTCTTGCTGATTTCACTACTTTCTCCTATTTTATCCTTTCACATTTACTGTTACTCCTATCGCGTGCGTTCGCTTTGTTGTTATTTTTGCTCCTTCTCTTCCCTCCTTTCTCCTCTCCTCTTGGTCCTCCTCTTTCGCGACTCCTTTTGACGTAACTTCAAAATGCGGCTGCTGATTTTTCGGGCATTTTAAGCACTGCTTGCGGTTGGGAAAGGTGGTATTCAAGATAGTTCAACTTGGAAATATTCAACTTGAAAAAAAATTACGTAGTGTTTGTTTAATTTAACTGCAATTCGGTGTTTGGAGAGAGTTGTTGTTAACGGGACACTGGATTCTTGTGGATTCTCGTTAGCTTTCCGCCGTTCATGTACCGTTGCGTTCGAGTTGCGTTGCTCGACTGAAACAGAAACTGAAACTAAAACTGAAGCGCCTCCAATTCGGTTGCTTCGTGCCAGGGACTCGGAAAATGGCCCGCCAGAGCCTGGCCTTCGGCAGTTTTCCCGCCAGATCTGGCCGTTTTAGAGCCACAAAATAGTAGCTAGAGACAAAGGGAAAGTTCTACCCTAGAAGTTTGATAATAATTCTCCAGACATTTTAAATTAAGTCTTAGAGATTGCAGACTATCTATAAAACTATAGAGGTTTAAAACGAGAGCTTAAGGCATTTGAAATAAAAATGTTAGAGATTTTAAATGAAACCTCTTTAAAAGCCACCCAAAAGTATGCTACAATAAAAAGTACGACAGAAATTGGTAGTTTTGCGTCACAAAAATCTCCAAATATTGGATTACTCTTATAAAAGTATTTAAAATAATGGTAAGATGGTATCGCAAACTTAATAATATTAATATAAAATATAATAACAAAAAATTACAAAAGTTAATAAAGATTTGTACGAAATGAGAGTTTTGCCCTATTTTTAAAAATAATAATTAAATCCACAATTGCAAAATATTATAAATAAATAATTTGTAATACTTTGATTTTAAAACCTTTTTTATTTGTAAACATTACATGTATTTTATTTATAATTCACTGTATGGAATATTCACTGTTCCTGTTCACTTACAATCACTTCACATTCAGGAATTGTTTTACTTTCAATAATTAATATTATCAGGTAATGATATTCAGCTATCTTTCGGACTTCAACCAGCACTGACTGTCAATGGATTCGTGAGCTGGAGAGTGGATGGAATGGCTCGCATTGGTGTTCCAACTCCCCCTGATCCTTCGAAGTCCCTCCTCCAAATGCACCGCATGTTGTGCAACTCTGCCAGGAGCTGTCATCTGTAATTCACCTTGGCAAGCATGTGAGTGCGATGCACACACACCCACTGCCTCCCAAAAAAGCCCAGCCCATTCCGCCCCCGGCCACGCCCCCCGCCCCCTCGAGGAACAGCTGTCGATGGGCTGTTTACAGAGCAACAGAGACAGCTGCCAGGCGAAAAAGCGAGAAAGCTGCAGGTTCAATGAACCCGCCAACTTTTGAGGTAAATAAAAAAAATTATGTTAATACATATATATATATATATATATTCTCGTATATTTTGTCAAACTAAAAAAAATTGTCGGGTGCATCATTCGGTTCTAAAAGCGAATTGATTTAATTTACAATTAAAATACACCCGTATTTATTCTATTTTTCTAGGATTTTCATCGCGGATGTTCGTGTGGTTCGAACGAAATTGAATATTCGTTTGTGTAAATGCCGTACTAAAAATGACTGATTGTTGCGAAATTATACTGATAGCATTTGGATGATAGATGATTAAACGTAATTCGGGGTCTTTGAGCCTTTTGTTGGCGCACGGCGGTCCCCATATGCATATAGTATGTATGTGGAAATGGAAATGGCCTGCGCTTTTTTGTTTTGGTTAGTGGAAATGACGCGAGTTTTTTGTTTGTTATTTTTTTTCTGTCTGTCTCAGTTGCGTGGCTGTAATTGGCGTCTAGCGACGCTTGATGCGCTCGATGTACTTGGTTTTATTCAGGGCCCGACTTCCCGCATTGGGGTCCATCATGCGGTTCCAGTCGGTCTGACCCACCACAAAGCCGATGGCTCGCATCTTCTCCTGCGAGCGCTTCTCCTCGATATCCGCCCAGCGAACCTGGAAGATATTGAAATATATAGATATTTTTTGAAATATAATATAAGGCCCCTACGAAACGTTTCTTGGGTCAAAAAAATCTAGTACATAAAATATTATAAAAATTTGTATAAAGAAATATTTAATTTAATTTGAATTAATATTTAAGCACTCAAATAATTTAATTATTATAAGTTAAGTAATAAAATACCTATATCTCCCTATTTAATGTGTTTTTTCTCTAAAAAAAAAAGTCGATATTATCGAATTGATATTGTGGAAGTATCGAAAATATCGATCATTTTCAATTTTAAAATGTATATTTACTAGCCATAATTTTAGACTATATTAGAAAGTGAAAATATATAAAAACAAAATATCGTAGGTAATTAAAACCCATGAGCAAGGGAGATGGCAATATAGCTAGCCATCTCCTTCTCTTCCATGTGTTTTTCTTTGTTATTATAGACCCCCACTATAAAGAAACGTTTCCCCACCAACCAACCAGCCATTAGTTTCTACTCACGCGCTTCTTTCCATTGGCTGAGGTCCTGGGTGGTTCCCAATCCTCCAGCTGCAGATAGTCGGCCATGCTGGCGGTCCGGCGGTTCTGCATTAGACGCTTGGTGCCATCCAAGCGGGCTGAAAAAAGAAAGGATTCCGTTAGTTGGTGGCACAAAACAAAGTCAAGATGATAGGGGACTCACCCAGATTGTCCTCGGTGGTGTCACATTCCCATTTGCTTTTCAGGAAGCCGCACTGCACAACGCACAATTGGGAGCCGGATTATAAATGGAGTGCAATGGTAGAATTTCAGGAAAATTTTAAGAAATATTCACCCCAGCTAACCAAGCTGCCCAAAAAGCCACCAATTTCCTGTTTCTACATTTCTAACGACTGATTGGATTATTAATTTCGGGACAATAGTGCGACTAACAACGGAAATCGTTTTAAATTCAAATAATTATTTCTTGATTAAATGAAAATATTTAAATAAAAGTAAAAATAATAAAAAAAATATTGTGATATTATATGTATATAGGATATGTGTTTACAAGTATACCTTTGAATGTAAATTTAACAATATTACCAAGGCAAAGTCACCAAAAGCCAACTAATTATGGCCAGAAAAATGTAATTAAAAGTTACAATATTTGTTCTTCAAATTGGACATAAAAAATGCAATCTGCTGGCAATCGTAAACCCCATTAAAACCCCATCGTCATCGCATCGCACATGTGCCTCAAAATGAATCCAATCCAATCAGTCGCAGACGCAATTGCGGGCAACACTTACATCGTTGGAGGCGTCGGCGCTATTGCTGTCGTCCGTCTCCTCGACAGCCGCATCCTCGGATGCTGCTGCTGCTCCCGCGGTCTCCCCATCGTCGGCGCATGCATTATCGTCCTGAAAGTGAGACGAAGCCGCCATAAATCAACAAAACGTTCGCTTAGACCAGCTTGCAGAGTTGCCTTTACTAAGAGCTTAACGTAGTTTCGTAATGGTTGCTTAGACTAAAAGCCTAGAGGTGCACATATATTGCAAGTCATAAAATGGGAATATATATATATATTTAGGGTATATATAGTGTGGATTCGATTCCAGAGTGAAGAGCTTAGTCTAGAGTTGCGCTGCCGCTTTTCTTTGGTTTTTTGAATTAACTTGGCCCGGCCAGGTCAGAATTTAGGATATTCTTTCTTAAAGATTAATCATGACTAGAGTTTGGCTTGTCTTTTTGCGAGTTTCGGGAAACTCAGGAGCCGCAGCAAGTGCTCCTGTTCCGCGGCGATATGGCAGCCACCGCCTTAGTGCATAGTTACCGTAGCCATATCCTCCACATCCTCCATCTCGACGACGTTCTCGAGCAGCGTGCTCACGTCCAGCTTGATGTACTGCAGCGGCGTGTTGCACCAGTTGTCCAGCACCACGCGGATCTCGTCCTCGGTGCGCTGATGCGAGTTTCTGCCGAGGCATGTCTCCAGATCGCAGTGCAGATCCACTATGTAGGGCTGTAATAATTGTTAATAATTATAATAAATAAAATAATTAATATAATAATTATTATTTATCCATGGACGCACCACAAAGTTCGAGTCTTTGGCGTGGCAATAAAATTCATTCAGTGTGCGCAGCGAGTTGTTGTTGCAGTCCACAATTATAAAATCGTACAGATTATCACTGAGCGTCTTCTTGAAGGACTTGATTAGATACTGCATGTAGGTCTCCTCCATGCTGTCGTCGTACTCGTACAGTATCTCCTTCTTGGGTATCTGCAAGCATTTCAATTTGATAATTAAATTTAATGACCTAATAATCATCTCACACAGCTCACCTTCTTGCCCGTCTTGGGACACTTCTCCACGTAGTCGTTCTCGATGATGAAGTAGTCATCGATGGACAGGATCCGTGGATTGGCACCGCCCATTTCCAGCTCCTTTTCCTTGATGAGACGCGCCACATGCGACTTGCCGCAGCCGGGAGGACCGCGCAAAATGATGCAGATGCGCTTGGGACGCGTCTGGCGGCCGGGATTCATAAGCACCTCGTCCACGGAGATGGTATTGCGATTCTCGCTGGTCGGCACCGACATCTCCAGATGCGTGGACGTCACCGGATTGGGTACTTTTTCATTCGCATTGGCGGCCGAGGGAAAAAGTGACATGGTTGGCGGCGGCGGAGCCGATCCATCAATTCCGCCGCCAAATTGACGGGCGGGAAATGGATTGAAGGGATTTTGATTGAACTGCTCGGGGGCATTTCCCTGATTCCAGCGGCTCATTGAGGGCGGCGGCGGCAGAGCTTCGTTGTCATCATCATCGCAATCCAGTGGCGTTAGATTGCTAGGAGAAAATATATGATTTTAATAAAATATTGAGTTTAATTTTAAGCTGATTGTAAACGATGAAGCAGTGAAATATGGAAATTCTTTTATAATTGCCGCTGCATCGTTTACACTCCGCATGAGAATAACTAAAAGCTTAAGCTAATTGTAAACGATGAAGCGGTAGAATAGGGAAATTCTTGATATAATTGCCACTGCATCGTTTACACAAGCTTTAAACTTACTCCTCTCCATCGGAAATATCCTCGAGATCATTGGGCTCATTATTTGATGGGCACTCATCGCCCTGATCCTGGAACTCATCCTGTGCCTGTTGCTGCTGCTGCTGCTGTTGCTGCTGGGAGAATCGTAGTCGGGATTAGAGACCAAGGACGAGGCTTTCACTCTGCTGACCACCACTCACCTCATCCTGTCCGGGATTCGACGAGGTGCACTCGTCAACCGCAATCGATTGCAACTGTCGGTTTTGATGGAACTGAATGCGCTCCTCCCTTTTTTGCTGTTTGTTCTTTTTCTTATTCTTTCGCTTGCTATTAGGAGCTCCTCCCGGTCCTCCTGGTCCTCCCGGTCCTCCTGGTCCACCTGTCATTCCTTGATTTGGACCTCCTCCCATTCCCATTCCCATTACTCCTGGCATTCCCATGCGATTCGAGGAGTGGCCATACTCGAAGGTCTTCACGGGTCTGAAATCCGGCATCCTATCGGCGGGCACTGCACTTCCGCCGGAAGGCCCATCGATGGGGTTTCCGTCGCCCGACTTGTGGCCATAATCGATCACCTTGGCGGCAGGTGGGTTATTGGAATAGTCGAACACCTTCATCGGTCGATAGATGGGCTCGTTTGGGTGGCTATTGTTGTTGTTGTTGGGGAATTGTTGCTGCTGTTGCTCCGGCCTTTAGATTTTTCATGTTTTTTTTTTGTGGACGAAGGTGGTGGGTGGAACACACCATTGGCGATTTTAGTATACAATTGTTTGGTTACGTTTGTTGGATTTCGATTTTGTGGTTGGTTTTTTTTTATTTTAAATATATTTTCGATTTTTTCGTTTTATCGTTTTTAATTTCGGTTTAGAGGTTTTCAATGTTTAAAAACCAAAAGAAAAACACTTGAACTTTTACTTGGGTTGAAATTTACTAAAATAGTTTTTTTGTTTTTGTGACTTAAGAAAGGGGGGCGTGGCAGGGGACGAAGGGGCGGGTGCGCAATCTACATGTCCCTCTGCCCAAAAATTGTAGACGAGCATAAATAGATGCGTATGTATATATTTTGGCCCTAAACTTAGACTAGGCAAAACTGCTTGGCTTATAAATAGCTTCTCTGGGCAATTCATAAATATACGTTTGAAAATGTTTAAAGGCTTTCTTGAAGTCGAAATAATTACAATATTAATTACTTAATTGTTATATTTGGGGAACCAGAAAAGGCAGAAAATTTGATTAACAAGCGGACAAAGTATTATATCGGAAATTACTTATAAGTGATTTTAAAATCACAACGGACCACAATAGTTAAATTATTTAGATACAACAGACAAATTTATAAAATAATATTGACAGCTATTTAATTTTAAGAAATATTTCAGAATGAATTTTAAGTTTTTATCGGACAAAAGAGATGGTTTATCGATTTATCGGACAAATAGATTTACTTTAATAATAATTGGTCATAAGTTGGCTAATCTAAATAATTAGAAAATACTCAATTTTCTTATTTTCTAGGATATTAAAGTTGAGAAATGCTTAATTATATTACATTCCAAGTTGAAAGCCTTAACATCGGAAAATTAGAAACGGACAAAATCGGAATAAGACGAATTATAGTATTATCGGTTTATTAAACCAAAACCAACAGTAGATAGCAGTATTTTCAGTATTTATGAAACAGATCTTGAGTCACAATCCTCTAGACGTTTTACAAATTATTAAAAATATGTAAATATAAACCAGAACCAGTGTTTAGCGATCGGAAATATTAATATTAAATATAGAAATAATTAACAAAACAGACGGACAATTTTCCCCCAATAACATTACTTTTCGTTTTATCTTCCTTTATTGATATTAATTCCATAATAGGTATATATTTAACATATACGACTTATATAACTCCGCGCTATAAAAGTATTACATATTCCACTAAACGAGACTTAAAGTTTGCGTTCTAAACCAAAGAATTTAACTGGGAAAATCATGAATTCGCGTCATAATGTAAAACGTAAAGAACTTAGTAACAAAGTGAATAAGAAATTGGTCTATTTTTGTAAATTCTTTCAGGGCAAAAAATAAGAAGGAACAAAAAAAATGGTTTCAAAATTTCGAGCAGCAAATTTAGTCTCAGTACAAGTTGTTGTTTTTTTTCGATTTCATATTCGTTTTCTGGCAGATGTGTGTGTATCCTTAGGTTCTAAATGTAGGTCTTTCCCTGGCCTCTGGACTCTGTTATCTGATGACTCGATTTCGAGGGGGGTTGATCATCATCTGCCCATTTGATAGCCCCCCTAAAAATCTCCTAATCAGATCCCGGATTCGAGAGTTCCAGAGCTCAGTTCCTGCGCTTCTGCTGTTGCTGCTGCTGGAGGTTCATATACCGTCTACCGCCCCCTTTTCTTGCTGCTCAGACAATGGATCAGACACAGAGATCGGTATAGATATATATATATATATATATATCACGTATGTATCGGGGGCATCGCCAAACCATCAATACCAGCGGTTACATATTCGTTTTTGTGTTGGTTTTTTTCGTTTCGTTTGTAACATTATTTAAATTATATGGTTTCGTTTTTTTTTTCGAGTATTTATCAGTATTGCATAGAAGTAGAAGAGAAGAAGAAAAAACGGGGTTGGAATCGAAATTCCAGCATTAACGATAACTAGAAAAAGGCCTGCGCAAGTTAACTACATAAAATTGGATGATATCAATACAGATAGAGAAATTTAAAAAGGGACAAATTGTGTGGGAAAGGGGAAAGTAACTCTGAAGATTTCTTTCGAAGAGAGGAATATACGGAAATAATTTATTATATTATTTTATGGCTTATAAGAACTCCATCTGTAGTTAACTCGGACAAAATTGTAAAAAATATCTTGGGTTTCCTTCAAAACAAGTGTAGTTTATAGATATAAACACCTAAAGCATGAGTTATAAATAGATATAGCACCTGTATTTGACCGAAACAAATAGATATACGACTTTTATAGAACCCTTTTGAATAGTTGTGTGTTATCATGCAGCCCCAATTAAATTTCCCAGTACTAAAAATAGTCATTTTGCAGATAATACAATCCAAAAAGATAATGCTGCCCTATCTTCAACAGACAATCAGACAATTGATATTGGGATTTTGAATTTCCAAAAAGAGTTTAAAGGGGGAAAGATCTCCTCTTCTTCCCTTCCCCCTTTCCCCCAGTTTTGTCGAGATTATAATATATTTAATTTTATATATATTTAGGTAATATATAACTTAGAAACGGCTTGAGGACACATACCCATCATTCCAGTTTTTGTTCCGATTGTTGTTTTGGTTATTTCCCGGTCCTCCTGCATTTCCGAAGCTGTTGCGGTTGGGGAAATTCCTGGGTCCTCTTGGTGGCCCAGCGCCCAGATCATCGTCGCCAAAATTGGGACCCGGTGGTCCGCCCTGCCGGCGGAAGGGATTATCACTGTTGGGTGCGGGTCCTCCTGGTCCTCCTGGTCCGTTGAATCCCCGCTGGTTGGGTCCTCCAGGTCCTCCTGGTCCAAAGTTGGGTCCCCCGAAAGGCGGGCCACCAAAGTCATCGCGTCGCGGACCGCCAAAGGGACCGCCACGTGGTCCAAAGTTGCGAGGACCTCCGGGTCCAAAGTTCGGTCCAAAGTTGGGATTAAAATTGGGGCCATTGTTGCGGAAATTCGGCCCGGGACCGGGTCCAAAATGCGGTCCTCCGGGTCCAAAGGGTCCGGGTCCAAAGTTGTTACCCGGACCGGGACCAAAGTTGGGTCCACGTGGCCCAAAGTTCCGCCCGGGCGGACCAAAACCAGGACCAGGACCATTGGGTCCCTCAAAGTCCATGAAATTGCCGCCGGGCACTTGGTTCGGTCCAAAGTTGTCAAAGCGAGGGGGTCCATCGTTGGGGGGTCCATGACCTGGTCCCGAATTTGGACGAGAACGAGGATTCGGATTGGTATTACCACCTGGTCCGCCTGCCTCCGGCTTCTCCGCCACACTGGGACTCATTGAATCGCGGGAATCCTGCGATTTGTTGTCATTCCCGCCGTTCTTCTTGCGCTGCCACTCGGCAAAGGACAGTGGGCGTCCATCTTTGCCCCTCTCCTGATCCGGAGGAGCATCCTGTCCCTGCTGCTGCTGCTGCTGCTGGCGATCGCGCTGCTCGCGCTCCTGGACATTGGCCACAGCCTGGGTGAGATTGTTGAGGAAATTCGGGTCTTTTAGGACGTTGCTCAGGGATTCATTCTTGTTGGCAGCGACTGGAGCTTCGGTAGATTCTCCCTGCTCCGCCTCCACCAAATCCAGGCCCGGAATGCCATCGCTCTTCTTGAAAATGCTGCCCATGGGCGTCTCGGCAGCGGCGGCGGCGGCGGGCAGCTCATCCTCGTCCGTATCGTCGTCGTCGTCGAGGGAAATCGTGAAGATGGGCTCCTCCTCCTGCTTCACCTGCTTGGCGGGCGTGGGAGTGGGTGCGGGATTGGCCGTTTGCCGACGCTTTCCGAGATTGCTGGCGGTCGGAGGCTGAGGAGGAGCCACCGGCGGAGCAGGCGGACCCGGAACTTCGCTTGGCGGCGGCAGGGAAGCCGGATGAACGGGAGCCATTGGTGGCGCCACCGGTGGAGCAGGTGTTATCACCTTCTGGGGAGTTTTAGTCGGGTTGACTGGCTGCTTTTCCTTTAACTCCTGCTGGCTGGCTGGTTGGTATTGGCTCTGCCTTCCCTGGTTGTTGCCACGGAAGGCGGGAGCACTGAAATTGGACTTCGATCCCTGTTCCTGATCACTGAAATTGCCATCATCCTCCTGCTCTTCGGTTTGCGAAGCTCCCACTTCTTTGGGTAGATCTGTAGAAGATCCAGAAGCTGATCCCGATCCCATTTGCTGCTGCCGACGACGACGCATCTGCTCCCTGCGCTCCGCAATGCGACGGCGCTGCTTCTCGAACTCCTCCTCGTAGCGGCGATACTCGTCGCGATCCGGATGATTGGCATTGGCCCGCTTCCAGTCCTCGAACTGCTGCTCCCACTGGTCGAACAGGCGGTCAAAGCTGGCCTCGTCCAAGTCGGGAGTTTGCTGCTGCTGCTGCTGGCGGTTCTGATTTTGATTGGTATTCTGATTTTGCGACTGATTCTGCTGCTGTTGGAATGGCGCATTCCGCTGGTTGAAATTGCCACGATTTTGGTTGTAGTTCCCTCCGCCAGAATCATTGTTGCCTCCGGAATCAGAATATCCCTGATTTTGATTCTGATTGCGATTCGTATCCCAGCGATTGCTCTGGCGGCGATTGTTGTTGAAGTTATTATTGCTATTGCCAAAGTTGTCTCTTCCTCGGGTTCCCTGGTTGCCTCCAAAGTTGTTTCCTCCTCCTCCTCCTTGATCCTGGTTGTTATAACTATTCCCCTGGTTGTTATAACCGCCAAAGTTGCCTCTTTGCTGGCCAAAGTTGTTGTTGTTATTGCCGGAGGATTGATCTTGATCGAAATCAGATGACTGGGAGTTCTTGTTAAATGGATTCTGGCTGGGATTGCCCCCTCCTCGCTCCTCTGCTGACAACCAGCTCTTTCGATTATTTTGGAAATTGTTCTGCTTGCTGTTATTTCCCATATCGGAATTACTGTTGTTGTTGCTGTTGCTCTGCCAGCGATTCTGGCGGGGATTCTGCTGCTGGTTGTTGTTGTTCTGCTGCTGATTATCCTGCTGATCCTGGTCGCTCAAGCTAGGCGGTGGTCCGCTCATCCAGCGGTTCTGTTCGCCAGGCGGCGGGCCGCTCATCCAGCGGCTCTGTTGATCCCGATCCCCGCCAGACTGCGTTTGATTCGAGCTGCCATCCCAGCGGCGATTGTTGTTGTCGTTGTTGTTGTTCGTGTTGTTGTTGCTGTTGTTTTGGTTGCCCTGCGGCGGTCCATTCCAGCGATTATTCATTTCATTTTGCGGGGGAGGTCCATCCCAGCGATTTTGCTGCCCAGAATTATCGGTTGATGGCCCACTGGACTCCCAGGAGTTACGATTGTTGCTGTTGTTGTTGCCGCGTTGTTGGTTGTTGTTGCCCCACTGGTTCTCCTGCTGCGGCGGCGGACGCTGCAGCGAAGGCGGCGGCTGCTGGAGATTGGGAAATCCTCCTCCGCTTCCCTGGTTGTCCGATGGTCCAGCATTGTTGCTATTGTAGTTCATCTGGTTGTTTTGACCGCCATATCGGTTAGAAGGCGGCGGCTGCGACCACAAGTCATTGCTGCTCTGATTCTGCTGATTGTAGTTGCTCTTTTGCGGTGGCGGCGGCGGCGGCTGGTTGTACATCTGCGGCTGGGCCATGATCTTACCGGGCAGCGGTGGCCCGGAATTGGGAGTGGTGGTGGAAACAGCCGATGGAGCGGATGGCGAGGCAGCCGGGGCAGCCTGGTAGTAATTCTGGGCCACGGGATAGGCCTGTGGACCCGGTGGAGCAGCCACGGGAGCGGCTACGGGAGCAGCGGCGGGCGAGGGAGCCGCCGCCACGGGAGCAGGAACTCCCTGGACGCCCTGAACTCCTCCAGTGGCGGCCACGGCGGCGGCAGCGGCCATTTCACGCTTGTACTGGGAAAAGAGATGAGATATTTAAGGATGTAATTAGGTAGGAATTAAGGGTGACTAACCTGCTCGCCGTACTGGGCATGCCACTTGGCGTACTCCGCCTGGTAGGTCTGCCACTGGTGCCAGTGGTGCTGCAGGGCGTACTGCTGCTCCGGGGTCATCGCCGCATACTGGGCGGCCGTGTACTGCTTATAGGGGTTGCCCCCGGCCGCCTCGCCCCCCTCCGCCGCCTGGCCGCCGCTGGCATAGGGGTTGAAAGTGGAAGCGGAAGGGGTAGCGCTGCTGCTATCGGTGAGTTGAGTAGCTGCTCCAGGAGCTCCTCCTGCTGCTGCTCCCCCTCCATCCGCTGGCGGCGGCGGGGGCGGGGCGTCGGGCAGGGGCGGCGGCACCGAAGGCTGCGGCGGCGGAGCACCCATTCCCATCCCCATTGGCATGGCCATGCCCATGCCCATGCCCATGCCCATTCCCATCGGAGCCACTGCGCCGGTGGCCGTCTGCCAATGGCCCCACATGCTGCGCTTTCACTCGCGGCTCTTCTCGCTCACTCTCTGTTTAGTTCTCGTTTGCCGGAAAACACGGAAAACACGGGCTATCCGGAAAACTAAGAGCGCTTCACAAAATCACTTGCAATCGGGACGAGAAAAAAACTGAAAACTTCGCCATTTTTGGCTTGAAAACTAGAGGTGGCCTCTGGGCGCCGTCAATGGCTATCGATAGCTGGCTGTCAACCATCGATATATCGGATGGGAGTTTATTTTTGGGGAAATACGAAAATAATTAGGAGACTTTGCAAGCGGTTTTCTTATTGTTAAAGTTAATAATAAAAAAAGGAAGAATCTGTTTTATTTACTTGTTCAAAATTTGTATTATTGTTCAAATGGCCTATTAGGAAATTGACAGTTCGATAGGTGGATTTTTTGGTACTTTCTTTTCTTTCGCAAAATCAAGTAACAAAAAACAAATTGTTTCTTTTAGATATGTACACTTTAAGTCAAGTCTTAAAAAATCGTATTTTATTATATTGGCCACATATTCAAAATGTAAAGAAGTGGATATATTTGTACCATCTTTCATTTTGCAAAATCAATTTACAATTATACAAAAATTGTCCATGTAACAGAAATATTGAAACTTCTTTCTATACATTTTATGTCGAACTTTCAATAAATCGTATTATATTGCGTGTTAAAATGGCCAATTAAGCAATTATAAATTATCGGAATAAATTCAACCTATAAACTACCGATATTTTATTCGCTTAAAATCGACATCGATAGCTATCGGCCATCACTGAAATATTTTCGACACGTGCTGACTTGTTTTTCCCTGCCTGCTTTGTTTTTCATGTGAAAATCGCCCCGGAAAATGGCTGAGACGAGCGGAAAGATCAAGTTCCTGGTGGCGGACACCACCGCCTTCATCAACGCCGTGCCCCTGAACGTGAGTAGGCCATAGATTCGCTGTGAAACACCTCTAAATTCTCCCCTAATCCCCTCCAGGAATATGCGGAGCAGGTGCTCACCGTACCGGATGTGGTGGCCGAGGTGCGCAACAAGCGCCAGATCCGGCGCCTCTGCGTCCTGCCCTTCGACCTGCAGGTGCGCGAGCCGCGTCCCGAGAGCATCAAGCACTGCGTGGAGTTCGCCAAGCGGACGGGCGACTATGCGAGTCTCTCGGGGATCGACCTGAAGGTCATCTCGCTCACCTACGAACTGGAGGCGGACACCGTGGGCACCGCCCACCTGCGCACGGAGCCCGTGATGGCCCAGACCATTGCCTCCAAGGAGAAGCCCGAGGAGATGCAGGATGCGAGCAACAAGAGGCTGGTGGGCTGGTACATGCCAGAGGGGGAGGAGGAGGAGGATGACTCCGAGGAGGAGGAGGACTCCCAGGGGGAGGAGGAGCAGGAACAGGAGGAATCCCAGGATTCCCCACCCGTAGACAACATAAAAGCCGCCATTGAAGCTCAGTTAGCTGGCAAGGAGCCACTGCCCACCGAAGATCTAAGCGAGGAGCCCAGCCAGGAGGAGCTGGACAAGCTGTTCGAGCAGCTGCAGTGCGCGCCCAGCGCCGAGGAAGAGCAGGAACTCGCTGAACTGCTAATTTCCCAGCCCGCCGAAGTGGAATCGGAGGAATCCGAGCCCGTGCAGAGCCAAAATCAGGAGGATGAGGTGGGCGACGATGGCTGGATCACGCATTCGAACATCAAGAAGGCCAAGAAGGCGCTGGAGGGCAAGGTGGAGACGGATGAGGTGCCGCCGGTGGCCTGCATGACCACCGATTACGCGCTGCAGAATGTCCTAAAGCAGTTGAACCTTCACCTGGCTGCCTTGAATGGGAGGATCATCAAGCAGCTGCGCACTTATATACTGCGTTGCTATGCCTGCTATCGGACAACCAGCATCATGACCAAGGTCTTCTGCCCGAACTGCGGCAACAAGACGCTCAAACGAGTGGCCGTGAGTCTGGACGAGAACGGGCGGCAGGTGATACACATCAATACGCGACGGCCGCTGACCAACAAGTACAAGAATCAGAGTCTGCCGCGCTTCACCGGCGGCAAGCATTCGCGCAATCCCATTTTATTCGAGGATCAGCCGATGCCCCGCCAGATGCCGTCGCGCGTGGCCAAGACCAAGACGAACGCCCTGGACCAGGACTACATGGCCGGCTTCTCGCCCTTCGTGCTGCGCGACGTCGACTCCAAGTCCGCGATGCTGCGCTCCAAGGGCAACCTCAAGGAGTGGGCCAGGAACAACAACTTCGAGGAGGACCGCCGGCGCAAGAACTACAATCGCTTGTACAAGTAGATAACCGGGGAGTAATAACCCCCTAATCGTAGACTTTATATAATATGTAATATATATAAAATAAAACTCAAGGAAGAACTTAAATCTTCAGGTGGAAAATGTAAATTTACGACATTTTACAAGGCTTTTAAATATTTATAAACTTTTTTTTTGTGGAAATAAATCAGTTTTTTAAGATTAAGAATAAAATCTCTCGTTTCAAATCATTCTTAAATTTTAATAAAATATTTTATTGATATTTTCGGAAGCCCAATCATTTATACAGTCATTTTACAAGGCTTTTAAATATTTATACATTTTTTTTGTGGAAATAAATCAGTTTTTCAAGGTTAAGAATAAAAACTCACGTTTCAAATCACTCTTAAATTTTAATACAATATTTAATTTATATTTTCAGAAAGCCCAATCATTTTTACATTCAAAATTATACCTTTTTACACTCAATTTTCAAACCAACTATCCATCTCAGATGGCCAAAAATGGGCAGAAAGCCGCAATTTGGGATTGGATTATTTATTTACCAATCGGGCATCGTATAAATGTATAAATCACAGCTTGACGCACAGTTCGTTGCCCGGATAGACGGGCAGATTCAGTTCGTACTTGCGCTGCAGGGCCGGCGGTACGAATCGGCCGCCCAGGTAGTGATGCTCCCCGCGGAACTGGCGGGCACAAAGCTTCGGGGCAGTCAGCGAGATGAGCAGAGCGGGCTCCAAGTCGCATTCAGTCACCTTGCCCTTCTCCACGTCCCAGCCGCTTGGGATGTCCACGCTGAAAAGGAGTATAGATCATTAGTTTTCGGTTAAGTAGATCGGAAGATTGCGGTTTTTTCTTTGAATTATATTGTGAATTGGATTAATTGATGATAGATTATTTACATTATTCAAATGAGTGAAAGATTTTCTTTAAGAATATATTGAAACATGTGTTCCAAATTAAATTCTAAGCTTTTATATTTTATTTTTTAAAAATTTTAAGATATTTTGTAGACGCAGAAAAACATTTCTAAAAATGTGAAAATTTTCATAAAAGTCTTCTTCAGTATTCTATTAGAAATGATCTTTCGAAGGATATTTTATAGACAGAAAAACCCCTTTTTGAGAATTTCAAAATGATCCTAAAAATCTAGTTCATGAAAATAAAATTTTACAAATCTATTTCAGTTTTTTAAATATGAAAAATTACTCCTAAGAAGTAATTAATTTGTCAACATGAAAAAGGACTCCTAAAAATCTTTTTCAGATTTCTAAACATAAAACATTAATCCTAAAAATCTGTTTCTTAATTTTAAACATAAAAAATGAATCCTGAAAATCTTTTTTAGATTTCTAAAAAGGAAATAAAAATCATAATTAAGAAAATCATAATAGTAATGCTCGTTCGATGGACATAGAACCCATTCCTCCTTAAAATCCTTAAGCAAACAAGCTTGTTTCCCCGAAATTATCTTAGTTAGTTAGTTACTATAGCCCCCGATCCTCCTAGTGAACCCTGAACCCTTCTCGCACCTGGCAATCGGCAGTTTGGTCTGCTGCAGCAGCTCCACGACGGCCAGGAAGTCGGCCCGCACCGGGGGCTTGAAGCTGAAGCCGAAGAGGGCGTCCAGGATGAGGTCGTAGCTGCAGGCGGCGCTGGTCACCGATGGACACTCCTCGATGCTCGGGATCTCCATCCTCTGGCACTGGTGACTGAGGCTCTCGTACAGCCGGTTGGCCGTCGGCTTGGGGTAGTAGATGGTGGGCGTGTAGCCCATGAGCCGCAGGTGCCGGGCGGCCACCAGGCCGTCGCCTCCGTTGTTCCCGGGACCGCAGCAGACGAGGATTCGCGGATGCTTCTCGGCGGCAAAGCACTTGGCCACCGCGTGGGCGCAGCTCAGGCCGGCCAGCTCCATCAGCTGGTCCACGCTGAACTGGTACTCGCCGAAGAGCTCCTGGTCCACGGCGATGGCCTCCTTTTGGTTGAGGTACTTTAAATTCATCCTTTTGCCGGCGAGGAATCGCTTGATATTCAGTGGTGTTTCTAGTTTTTTCCTGTTTTGTGGTGCCAACAGTGGGTGGATCAGCCGGGAAATGCCCTTCAAGGACGCGCCAATTGGCCGGTGAAGCAGGCTCATAGATTTCCCTTTCAATTCAGGTGTACTTCCCTGTGGAATTTAATTTTAATCAAGATTTTAATTTCTGCAAGTTATCAAGTTTTCAAACAGCTGTCTGCGGAGTTGCCAGATATCTGTACATAAGTTAGCGAGGACACGAACCATGAGAACGTATTTTGCGGTCCAGAAATTTAGTTGGCAACTCGACACCGCCCCAAAAAATCAGTTGGCAACTCTGGCGCGTTGAAAACAAAGTCGATTTCCAAACCATGTTCGGGTCCCGACTATTTGAACTCGTGTATTTTGCATCCCTGAGTTATTTTTCAATCTTTCCAAAACGGTCGCACCTTTGTATCTTTCGGATCGCCGATCGCTTTTTGTATCTTGTTTTCGATCGTCGATTCTCGTTTGCGGTTGCCTCGTTTTTCGCTCCGCTTCGTTGTTGTTTTTGTTATCCGTCGGTTTCTTTTAGCGGAGTTTGTTTTCGGTTTTCGATTAAGTTCTGTTTTCGCTTTTTTTTTCTGTGCCCCGAGTTGCACGCAGGCGCAACAGCAAAATAAGAGGAGAAACAGCGAAAATCGTTGTTGCAAGTGGCTGCGTTCTCCGACGTCGACGGCGCAGCGGCGCAGGCGCAACAGCAGCGGAACAACGGTAAATGTCGACAAGTTTGTGCAAGTTGCGCGCGTTTGCAGGTGTTTGTTTTTGAGTGTTTCGGAAACTATACAATTTTTACAATCATATACCAATTACAAAAACCTATAAAAGTGATTTAAATACTATTATTTACATTTTTACAAGTTAATTATCAATTATTGCGATTTAAGTGATTATATAATGATATTTGGGCAAGGCCAACCTGAAACTTATTATTAAACAAATTCCTGCATGCATAATTAGACAAATTATTACATTTTTTACGAGCAAACATAATAACAACTAATTGAATTTCAACTGTTTAAGTAATTAAACAACAAAAACTTGTTTGTAAGTAATTACGATTACATGTTATGTAATAAAATTATAAGAATTACCCGTATAATACCAAAAAGTGAATTTTAATAAATAACAGGAGTTGACAAATGAAAACGAGTTATAAAAAATATAAACCACACAAAAATTAATTGCGAATATTGTGAAATTGTGAAGAAAAATCCCCTTACAATTTTTGTTCATTTTTTTTTTTCGGTTGTTTCTGAGTGTTTCTTCGGTTTTTTATTTCAAGAATCAAATGGAATTGGATTTCGCCTCAACGAACAATTAATTGGAATTACATTTCAACTGGAAGTGAGGTAAGTTTTTTGTTTCGTGTTCAATCATGTTGCGACATTCGACGTTCGACGAGAACTTTCACTGGTTTTTTACATGCCTAAACAAAATCGGGCGAAACAAAAAGTCGTGGAGGGGGGGGCTAAAAATATGAACCGACAATTACGATTTCTGTTTTGGATTGCATTTCATTTATTTTCCATTTGGCTCGGTTTTCGGTTTCTTTTTTCCCGATTTGGTTAACGCCGTTTGGAAATTTCCGGATTATTATTTTCTGTGTTGTTACCTGCCACTGCCACCCACCCGCATTTAGATAATCCATTTGCCACCTATGCACTGGAAAAAATTCTATTTTATATGGGAATATTTACAAAGATTTGTCTAAAATAATTTTTAAATTATTATTAAAAAATCTGTCATATTTATTGTAAAATTTCCCTGTGCTTATCAGTAATCCAAACTATTTATGGCTAGTATTTTCAATTGAAAATTTGTTTAACCGCATTTTTATTACACTTTGTCCAAGTGACACACATGCATATTTAATTTTTGAAATTATGGAAATGGCTCTCATAAATGCCTGGGAATTTCGATGCATTACTTTTCCATTTCCTTCCCTTTTTCCGCTGCTGATGCAAATTTTTCGGGTCGTTGCAGCAGGTTTATTGCCTCTTCCCCTCCCTTTCCCAGGTTTTCCTCCCCTCCCGACCCTCTTCCTTCCTTCCTCTCAAAAGCGAACAGGTAACGAAAAGGTGAGCGGTAAGAGGTGAAATAAGGGACACCAGGTAAACGCGATCGCCGAGCGAAAAGCAAAGAGCAGGGAAAAGCAGCAGCTGCTCAACTCAACACACAACTGAATTTTACCTTTTGTTTGGCTCGCTTTTTCCCTCCAATGCTTCTTCTTGCCGGCTTCCTGTGGGAACAGTGGGTAAAAACCAGCATATTTTGGTCATAAATCATAGATCCTAAGTTAGAAATAAAAATTTAAAAGTAAAACAAATATATTACAAAAAATAAAATAACATGATTAAAGTATCAAAATGTCAAGAAAAAATAAATCTAAAATTTAAAATGGTATTAAAAAAGTAAAACTACATGATTAAAGTATCAAAATACCAACAAAAATTATATAAATACAAATATATAAAATTGTGGATTTCTAGCCTACGATTAGTTTTTTGTAATCTCTTTTCTTTTTTATGTTCCATTTACCATTAATATTATTTTGTATTATTTTTGACCCACTGTGCCATTTTGGTGGTGCTGATTACCTGGTTCGCGCTTCTTCTTCATCTTCTTCTTTTTCTGCCGCCGTGATTTTGTTGTAGTTATTGTTGTTTATTTCTTTCTTATATACTTTTCCACTTCTTTCGCAGTTTGCTTTTATTGCTAAAATGTGTCTCGACAGGCGGTTTTTCTTTTTTTGTTTAATATTGTATATATATATATATATATATATATATATGTTTGTATGTACCTACCTATTTTTTTTGCATTTGTTGCTTCTGCCTTTTAGTGCATTTTGTGGGGCTTCTCTTTGGCTAAAACAAGAAGAAGAAGCTGAAAAGGCAGAAAAGAAGAAGAATTAAGCTGCAGTTGGCCTTCAACTAAACTTTGACTTCAACTTTGTCGTAAGTCGAAAATGCATTTCAATGTGTTGGGCTGCCTGGTTTTCAGTTGTTTTTATTTGCCCAAAGCTAATTGAAAAGCTTCTTAGGTACACTGCAAAAAAATATTAAATGCATTTTAATATATATGTATTTACATAATTTCTATTAAAGTGTAGAAAAGCATATTTTTACCTGTATTTCATTACATCAAAAAATATAAAATATATAAAATTTATTTAAAATAAATATTGTTGTAAATTAAAATATATATTATCTGTGTGCTACAAAATCCAGTGGAAGACGACTAGTTGGTGAAAGAAGGGCTTATCGCATTCACAAGAGCTGGAAAAATGGAAATGGAAACTGAAAGTGGAATTGATAAGCGAAAATGGGTGACAAGTTGAATGGGTTACAAAACTACATGAGTTGGTGAAGAAGGAGAAAGAAGGGGACAGAGGAAAGAGAGGTCATCGAAGCTTAGTCTTAGTCTTAGTCACTCACTTGCTGACATTCCCTTTCGAATGGCAATCGTAAATATTTTATTTCCCTTTAAGTAGTTCTTGTTTAAATCGCTTCATTAAATAGCACATTTACTTTTTATGTATTTATATACATATTTTTACTAGTAATGGAATATTTTATGATAATGTATTTATCTTAACAATAATGGGTATCAGATAGTCGATTGCTCTGTGAACCTTAGACCTTAATTTCATTTTTATGTATTTATATACATATTTTTAACAACAATAGAATATTTTATGACAATATATCTTAAGAAAAAATATATCTGCATTAATGGGTATCAGATAGTCGATTGCTCTCTGAACCTTAGACCTTGATTTAATTTTTTTTATTTATATATGTATGTACATATTTTTACTAGTTATGGAATTTTTATGATAATATATCTTAAGAAAAGATATATCTGCAATAATGGGTATCAGATAGTCGATTGCTCTCTGAACCTTAGACCTTGATTTATTTTTTCTACATTATCTACATATTTTTACTAATAACGGAATATTTTATGATATTAAATCTTAAGAAAAGATATATCTGGAATAGTGGGTATCAGATAGTCGATTGCTCTGTGAACCTTTGACCTTGATTGCATATCGAAATCGAACTTGTTGCCGCCGCCGAGTGATTCACAATCATTTGTGTTCGTTCTTCGACAATCGCGATCGCGCCTGGCGCCTATCAAAGTTTTTCTACCCCATGTAATGCCATTTGTGTGTTCTTTTTGTGCCACGATTGCGTTTCCAGAGGCCAACTGAAACTGATAAGTTTCTATTTCAATAAAAACACAGACTGCAGGAGAATACCGAGTACTGAATGCTGAACGCTGAAATGAAATGCCAGGCTTTTCGAACGCAGATTTCGGGGGCAATCCCCATTGGGATTAAGTCGGCTTATCTTTTATTGTTTTGAAACGCAAACGCAGCTTGGCGGCAGGTAGGCAGGTAGCTGTGTACATATGTATGTATGTACGTAGTCCCCAGAACAAGCATTTAAAGGTAAAAATATGAAACACCAAACACGAGACACGAAAATGTTGGCAAATTCATCGGGGAGTGCTACAACAGCCGGCAAGAGGATGCCAAAAAACATAACAAAATATAATAAAAACAAGGCAATGCAGCGAGTTTCTCACGACTTTTGGCTGCCACGAAGTTTGGCTGCTCTATTTTTTAATTAAATAAAAAAGAAAAATAAAATAAATAGGATTTATAAAAAAAAAATAATATAAATAACTTAGATTCAACCAGTCTTTTCCATGTCTTGAAAAAATATCTAAAGGGAAATCGATATAAATATTATTAATATTTTAAATCATTTTCCATTTAATGAGTAGACATATTACATAAAAGTTTATTAAGAAGTTTATGCCAAATTCTCAACTGTTTAAAGCAGCGGTCGGCACACACATACGTTGACATTTTGTTTTATATTTGTGTGAGTAATTTGCACTGGGCAGCTCATCGATGTGTGTGTGCAGACCGCTGTTCTACGTTATACATGTGCGAGCAGCGCGTCGGCAGAACAAAACCCTATGCTCACTTAATAGGGCGCTGCCGACCGCTGGTTTAAAGAGAAACTAAGCCGAAAAGAAATTTTCAGTCCTTCAACATAGAAAAAAGATTTTTATTTTAAATTTGTAAGTATTTAAAAAAAATTCCTTTTAATGAGTAGACCTATAACACAATAGTTTATTAAAATGTTAGAAAGAGCTTTGCCAAAATTCACAACTTTTTAAAGAGAAACTAAGCCGAAAATGGATTTTTAGTCCAGCGACTTTTGGGGCAAATAAAAAGGGGAGTCTCTGGAAAAAAATAGAGATAGAAAATGTACAAAACTAAAAGCCGGATGGATTAAATTGGGATTTATGCCCAAACGCACTCGTGGCATATGTAATGCACCCCTCTTCCATTTTTTGTTTGTTTTTTTTTCTGTTTTTGGGATGGGACCCTAAGCCCCTAGTAGACCCCCGCATTTTTGTATCACTTCACCTGCTCCCTGTTTAGTTTCTCTGCTGTCGAGGGCGGGCAGATAAAAATGTTGAAACAATAACCAAGGTAATTCCCAGGAGGCAGAGGCAGCGGCATTGCCTGGATGCCAGGATATAACTGCCACCTCCTTTCGCTCCCCGAGATTTGGAGCATTTGCAAGTATTTTTAGGGGCCTTTTTTTTATTTTCCCTTTTTTATTTTCTGTTTCAGCTGGACAGACAGACTCAAGCCCAAGCAAAGTGTTGTACATTTTCAGCTAGCGCCCCCCATATGGAAATTGCACTTCCTGGGGGGTTTTCCAGGGGAAAAGCGGAAGGGCGGAAAAGCGAAAAGGCCGGGAAGCCCGGGATGGTTGCATATGCACTTTTTATGTAAGTCAGCAAATTGACTCTGCTTTCCGCACATTTTCCTGCAATGTGAGTGGGCTAGAATTTGGGCTGGGGAAAAATGGCGAAAGATGTTGGATAAGATTTCTCAAATAGAACGAAAAAATAAGAAACAAAAGAAAGGGGGAAAAGAAAGTGGGGAAAGAGTCGAGCGAAATGCTTTAGGTGATTTTTCCCAGTTTAGTTTTATTTTAGTTGAAGGCTCGGGAATTTGCAAAAAAAGTAGTGAAATTTAAATATCTATCCAATAAATACCATTTATATATATTTATTTTGAGAAACGGTTTTAGGTAAAATTTTAAATAAATAATTTAATAGACTAAAGAACAAATTATATATATTTTTAAAAAATATTTTAGAGAATTAAATCAATGACAGGGAGTATTTAAAACCGTTAAATTAAACGCAGAGCCATTTAAATACAGTTTAATGACAAATTATTTAATTATTTATTTAATGCACTGAGGAAAAAACGTTTTAAAAGAAGTTAAAAAATACTTTAAAATTTCTTTAA